AAAAAAAAAAATATAAACCACGGGTTATAACACTGTCCCATTTTTTGGGTAATAAACTCCCAAAATACTAACATCGGGTTTAAAATATAAACATAAGTAATAAAATACAAGCATAATATAAAAATTCTAGTCTAAATTGACTTTTTAACTTTTGGCTGGTTTGCCTTCTTGAAATAAAGTAGGTAGTGGATTTATTTTTAAAAGGACAAGTTTGTGCATACAAACTCAGATATTTTATTGACATCATCAAAACATAAGTTTTTTAATGTGTAACTTAAACATAGCGTTAATACTTTTTTATTTTTAAAAAATCAAGTTCAATGTTGTGTCATAGCACTTCATTATAGCTGTAAGTTTTATCACCACTGTATAAGCCGTATTTGAGCCGTGTCATGACAAAACCAACATTGTGTGTTTGCGACCAGCATGGATCCAGACCAGCCTGCGCATCCGCACAGTCTGATCAGCATCCATGCTGTTCGCTTTCAGTTTCTGTACTTGTAATAGGGTTTGTAAGCGAACAGCATGGAACCTGATCAGACTGCGCGGATGCGCAGGCTGGTCTGGATCCATGCTGGTCGCAAACCCACTATGTTGATTTTGTCATTACACGGCTCAAATTAAGACTTGGTGCAGTAATGGGTGTGGTAATTAGCTATGATATTGCAAAATTTCTTACATAAAACATATCCTTTTAAAGATATACTGATATAGTTTACCAGCCTTGTTTTACACATTGAATAATCACGACTATACTATGTATAGGATTACACTTCAAAGGATTGTATCATGTAATTAAAAGAAGGTGTTATGATCATTGACACATGGTATAATCTATTTGATATTAATTCACTTATGTTTCCTTTGTACTTTATTGGTCTCTGTCCTATTAAAAGCATCACCACTGCACTTTATTACAATTATAATAACTGGGATTGACCGATTTATGCGTACGTTTTAAGGTTGGTCTTATTTGACTAGCAAATGATCTGACAAGTATAAAACTTTCAGGGGCAGACAACTCAAAAAAGTTAGATGGTGACTTTGCATGCTTAAAGATAAACATAATTCTAAACAATTTTAATGAAAAACAATAAGGGGTTGCCATCTGACTTTTTGAGTTTTCTGCCCCTGAATTATTTTTTTCTCTCTTTTTGGTCACTTTTAGGACCAGATTACTCAAAATCAAGCATACGAATATTTCATTTGATTTTAAATTAATTAAATAACAGATCTAGTTTATGATATATCAACATAATTTTAAATATTTCCAAAGTATGATATACAACAACATTTTCACACAAGGAATGTCTTGCTGTGTTAATCCAGCAACATGTAATAATGTTCCTAGCTGATCAGATTTTACATGCTTAAAAAACCTTCCTATAAACTTAAAACTGAAATTACCAAAATGAAAACATAAACCAAAAGGTCTAATGACCGCTAGTGGCATGGGTTCAAACCCCATCAGGAGAAGTTGTTGTTTCCTGGAGCAAGACACTTTACACTCATTGCTCAGTTATGGTTGGAATGGATTCTAAAAGTGTGTCTATAAGCTTATTTTAGTTTATACAAATTTATTTTAGTTTGATTGTGTTGATAGCTATAAGCTTATTGAAACACTCTCAAATCCGTTCCTGGAACCAACCAGTACTAAGCAATGAATGTGAAACAACGGCTTGCCCCTTGACAGCGTTTGAACCCACGAGGTCAGCAATCCTTACATTACTAGTCTGACGTGTTAACCACTTGGCCATGCGGCCACTATAAGCTTATAGCTTCATACACCAAACCAAAAAGTGTTCTTTATCTAAAAACCGTTAATATATCTGAGATATATACACCTGTATGTAAATACATGTATATGATCTAATTAATCCGAGAACCTGTTACCATATCCCTAAAAATTCAACAATCCCTTCTGATCTAGAATTACACTGACAAGTGACAAGATAGATATATCCGTTTAACACATACCTGTTTGGTTACATTTCCATACACCAATCCTTCTATATGCATCTTTGAAAACAGCTGTGGTAGAAATGATGTAAGCTTCTCTAATGTCACCTCTGAATAAAGAAAGAGGAATATCTGAATCAGTGAATAAAATTGGTCACTAATAATCAAATATTATGTTCACAAATGTACTTATAAAACAATGTTAAGTACTGTAAAGAAACAAACCTAAAAACTCATTCACATTTTTATGGAACTTAAAAAACAAGCATTTGATAGTATTGCGGGCAATACAGTAGTCCCCTACCGGTCCCTCAAAAAGTTCTTTAATTGTCATACACTCCTGTGTATTGCCATTTATAATGAATTTGAGGATGAAGTCTGTATTTGAAAATATCGACCACAAAACATAATAAAATAAGTTTGTCTATATCACAGTAATGTGTTAAGTTTCCATGCTTAGTAAGGAAATTATGTTTATACAACCTTGTCATATTATGTTTATACAACCTTGTCATATTATTACGATGTGGGATTTAAAAGTAAATCCTATAAGGAATGAAGAAGTTGGAGTGAAAATACCAGTTTCTCGAAAAAAATCTAAGTTCAAGGGGGACATAATTCTGGAAATAGTCTTGCTAGAGTATTTAACCTTCTCAAAAAATGTCGAGTGATAATAAGAAACATATATATGAAGTTTGAAGTAGATACATTAGGAAATAAAGAAGTTATTTAAAAAAGACAACATTTTTTCCCCTAAAAAATCTAAGTTCAAGGGAGGTAATATTAATATTTTTGTGCTAGAGTTATAAACCTTGTCACATATGATGTGGTTGATGACCAGGAACTTATATTTAAAGTTTGAAGTAAACACCTTAAGAAATAAAGAACATATAGTGAAAAAGCTGAAAAATTTTAAATCAGAAATCTTGAAATTCAGGCTATTTGTTTGCCATAGCAACCAAATTTTCAACATAGGAAGAAAATAAAAAGATGTGCATAATCTCCAGACTGCCATCTACCCATATTTCAAGTTTCATAAAAATATTTTCAGTACTTTTTGAGTTATCACTGGATCCAGTTTATGTGTTAAATTTGCCATATTTTCAGACTATTTGTTGCCATAGCAACCAGAATTTTCAACATAGGAAGAAAAAAAAAAAGACGTGCATAATCTCCATACTGCCATCTATCCATATATCAAGTTTCATAAAAATATTTTCAGTACTTTTTGCGTTATCGCGGGATCCAGTTTTGTGGACGGACGGACTGACGGACTGACAGACAGACAGACAGACGGACAGACAGACAGACGGACAGACGGACGGAGGGTAAACCTAAAGTCCCCTCCGGTTAAACCGGTAGGGGACTAAAAAACTAAATAAAAAGAAGAAAAGTACAATGTACTGTCAAATAAACAAGATAATTTAAAGTAGTAAGGTCACTGTCTATTATAAACAATTCTAACACGACCACATTTTCCCATTGAACATAAAAGAACCGAAAGTGTGTGTTATTATGCTATAAAATCACTGCTGACATTCTATATTTAGACATGTGACGTAATCATTATATACATGTGACATAACAACTAAAAATGCGATGCGCCGAAAATAAGTACGGAAACAAATCAGGTGCAATTTAGCTTAATATCAGTTACGGCAGCATTCATTTGTTGATGTTGTGTTAGAATCGAAATAATATCTCCAAATTGATGATTTTACCGCTTGATAAAATCTCTGATTGTCGTTTGGATGCGCAACATTATATCACTCGGGCTACGCTCTTGTGATATAATTCCTGGCATCCGAACCCTAACCAGTGATTTAATTGAGCGATAAAAAATCACAGTTTGGGATATATTATTTCTTAAGTAATATCACTAAGGGGAAACCTGCACATTTGTCAATGTATGATGAATAAATAAAAGCAGTAAAAGCAGAAGAGTGAAAAACTAATTTTAGCACCAGCTACCTTGACCAAATTTACCCCATACTCCACCCAAAGTATATAACAACTAAATACAAAAGACATCAGTCAATTAATTAAGGCTGAATAATGAATCAGACTTCAGTAAGATTGTATTTTATAAATGGTAACCTTGACCTTCACCAAAGCGACAGCTTACTCCACTCATAAATAGAGGACTACCAAAGATATTTATATACCAGATGTGAAAGGTATCAGTCAATAAATAAAAGCTGTATAAGCAAAACTAAAGAACACTATTTTTAACACTTGTGACCTTGGCCTTAGTGACCCCTTTCTCCATCCAATGTTAGAGGACAACTTTAGTATTTACCTACTAAATATGAAAGACATCAGCTAATATAAAAAATATGTATAAAAAAGCATAAAATCTTCTTTAAGCAATTAACATGTGACCTTGAACTTTATAAATGAGCTCTTACTCTACTAAAAATAAGAGAACCACCCAAGGTTCTTATCTACCAAATATTTAAAACATCAGTCAATAAACAAAGGCTGCATGAGCAAAGTTTTACACAAACATTACATCTGTGAAAAAAACACACCAAAAATCAAAGAAAAAAAAACCCAAAATGTTCATATGTCTGTCTAAAATGATCAAATCACACTAAATTAAAGGCTTTTTATTGAAGTGACTGTAATGGTAGTTTACTCTCCAGATCATGGCAGTAGGCCACTTTGAATACACCAGAACATTCTGTGAAAGTCTGGCTTATATCCATTAATATATGAATGAGGAGTTGGTCACAGAAGATATTGTTTTTGACCAACCAAGTTACTAATAGTAAGTTTTCTGTCACAACACCTAGTTTACAATAGCCATTGCTCACCTATTATTGGAGGCAGAGATATGGTAATAACAAATAGTAAATTAAGTCCAATTTTGCATTAAATACGCAAAATGTTACATGAATTGTTAATACATAAGCATTTCTTCATTCAAATTGAATATTTGAAAAGTGTGCTAGGGTTCGGGAATAAATTAACCTCTGCAACCAATGCTGACCAAGAACTGCTAACACAACCAAGCTATTTAATTTAAGTGTGCACTGCTGACAATTATGTCAATACATATTTGAAAAATTTCCCTAAAATTTGATAAATGGTTTTGCCTTGAAGGACGTCGGACAAGTGCATTTAAGATATATAGGGTGGTAGGGGTAAAGATTTTTGCGGTGACACTTAAGATTTATGATACCTTCTCAGATTTAGTTCAGACCAAAACAATGATATCATAATGGAAACCATAAACTTCATTAATAAAGTTGAACAACTTCAACAACAAGGTATCTTACACTACAAAGCATTTACTGTATTTTGCATACTAGGATGGATAACTCTTCTTCTAAATAAAACAACATGCCAAGTAGAGTGACGGAACATGATTCCACAAACTTGATACAAATAATAGCCACAAACCTTAAATCCGAGACTAAAAATTTTGTCAGGCAAGTGAACTTATATAAAGTTCAGCCCAAGTTTAGTTGCACATGGTTTTTTAACACTGTTACATTTACTTAAGGTCACGGCTTTTGTAAATTTAGCCCTTAAGGACCTGCTGATGGCAACTGTTTCTACCCATGTGACAAGTGCAGACAAATATTTGTGCTGTTCAGTCACTAAATGTTTTGGAATTTTCCCCTCAAAATGATAAATGGTATTGTCTAGAAAGAAAGATGGATTTTTCTTCATTTGTTCAAGGACTTCCACTGAGGGCCAAAAAAAAAAGAAATAAAAAAATAAAAATTGAATTTCTTACATAGATTAGCGGGGGATATGCAAAAGCTTATAAAGAAATATACTCAGTTTTCACTTTTGAGCTATTCTAGCTCAATTTGAGTGAAAAGCATTCCAACCTTTTTCAAAAATGGGTCATTTTTCACAATTAGAATAATTATTCTGGAAAAACGGAGTGAGCAATTGATCTGAAATTTTGCACACAAGTTATTGGTCTAGACCTACATAAAATGGAACATTATTCTCGACAAGTTATTTCCAGTCCCGTCATGTCAAAAAGAACAAACAAACTCAGTGGAGTCTCTTAAAGGGTTACTATACTTAAAACAATATTCAAACACAATCACAACAATATATCAGAAGAAGACCAACAAAATACAAACCTTCTAGACTGTTCAGAAGTTCAACCTGAGTCCACAGTAATTCTGACATGACAACTGAGGTAAAATATACAGCATGTTGGTGAGGTTGCTCAGCCACAAAGTTCTTCAGACCTCGACCATACTGTAATGATACAATTAAGCATTGTTACAGTCAATGCATTTTTTACAGTCATACTAAAATTCAATATTTCTACAGTGCATACTTTTGATAGTCTTAAGGACGTTGTTCAGGAGTTTTCATATAGATATATAGGCAGAATTTAAAAACTGTTCAATAGAATTTCTTTAAACTTAGCATTTTGTTAGAATGTGATGACAGAAATATTTTGAGCAAAAGAAAAATTGGGAGTCACTGATCTTACTGTTGGAGTTATCTGCCATTGAATCAGAATTTATGTACTTATATGATTTCATTTCAAGAAAAAAGTTTACTTATACATATGTCTATACAAACTTGTTTTCACTTCTGGATTATGTTTTTTCTTTTTACAATTTTTCTGCTCACAATACATAATAATATGCAATTCCATATATTATTTCTATTTAAGTTTTTCAGTTTGTATAAAGGGACTTAAAATTCTTTAAAAAAAAAACTATTGTTAGAGATTAAAGACACAAGTTTAGAGAAGAAAGGAAAAAGCAAATCTTTATTCAGTCTTGAAATTTTACACATTGAATCATACAGAGGTAAGGTACATGACGATAGGAAAAGAATACAGTATTGTTTCATAGTCAGGGCTCACGCTGTCGGTCGCCATAGTCGCCATTTGCGATTATTTTATAAGATTGGCGATTATTTTTGCATTTTGGCTACAAAATCTGGCGATTATTTTTTACTTCCATCAGTGTTTATATAAATTATAAGGTGTAAAAATCGATAATGAATGCAGTAGACCCAATTAACACCAGCGGGGTGCATTTAATTGAGTGTCAACTTTTTACCGGTCACGTGCTGCTAACTATATTGCCCGAGGTGATAAAATACATGCGAGATGTATAATTGTATAAGTACTTTAAAGATATTGTCCAGCATTTATAATAGCCATCAAATATACGTCAATTAGCCACAAAAATCGTTTTAAAATTGATAAACTGGATATTGACTTACCCAAAATTTACCGTGAATTGCAGTAATTGCAAATTTTGATTTTTTTTTTGTTTTAAGCTACTTGACTAAATCGCCAGTGGAAAACAATGGTAAAATATTTAAAAAGTATTAACTTCCAAACAACTATTTGCACAACAACCAAAATTGTGAATATTTCTTCAGAAAACAGGAAAAATCCGATTGTCACATGTTTTCGCGACACCGATAATTTTGATATTTATTTAAAGGTGAAATAAGCTATGTTCTGTTAAAAAATCTTTACCACTTTGGCAGAAAATTTGTATTACATTGGTGATGATGATATTTTTCAGTAAATTATTCAGAAAAAAGGCTGCATTCTGTGAATGAGTTTGCAAACTTGTGTTATTTCTATAGGCTAATATGACCTAGATCTACTCCAGTTCTGTGTGAAATGTGGAAATTGACAGTGGTTAAAGCTGACAAAATTTGATTAGAACAAACAAAAAAAGTTGTCTGATAACAGCATATGTAAAGTTATAATGAATCTTTAGTATTATTGTTATACAGTAATGATACTAATTATAACGTTTTTATTCTGTTCTATAATAACAATTAAAGTTGTGGTTCTATTTTAAAAAAGGTAGTTACCAATATATACAAATGTATCAGTTTATTTGAGAATCCTTATAAAACTGAAAGTTTTATATAAATGTAATGTTTATTTAATCAACTGCGTATGTCATTAATCGCTAATTCGTGAAAAGTCCGCTGAACTTTTGGCTATTATTTTTTTAAGTTGAAAATATTGGCTATTATTTTATTTGAGCCAGTGTGAGCCCTGATAGTGAATTATCTGCCCTTGAATTAAGCAAAAAAGTGCAATTCAGGGGCAGATAACTCAAAAACAAGAATGGTGACCCCCACAATTGATTTTGCTTAAAGTGTTTCTGTTATTATAGTCTAACAACAAGCTAAGTACATGTATAAAGAAATTCTATTGAACAGTGATTTTTTTGCCCATTATTAACACCTGTATTAAAACTCCCAAAGACATCTTGAAGTTTCACATCCAGGCACATTTACTGATGCTATAGCTTAAAACCCAACAATTCTCTCTAAGGAGACTTTGGATTTGTTAGTAGCAGCCAACATTATATATAGTTTCAATAATTAAACATGGTTAAATGCAGAGTCCACTGTTGACATGACAAGTATTAGGTTGAAATTAAAGTACAATGTTCAAGCATGTATATCATTGCTTTGTTTATGTTCAAAGTTCAAACGTATAAGGTAAAACTGTGCCCTAAATTCAAACATTTTCATGTGACAGTGTCGAAATATAAGATGTTAACACTGTAATTCATTCCAGCATATCACAATATCTCATGTTTTTACCATTCCTTTGATACCTATAGCACTAGCCATTCCTATATGAGTATCAATACTATCATTAAGATATCTAAAGAACAAATTACAATGGAAACTAAATATGCTTATCCATCCTTTGTACAATCTATGCTACCTCTGTATTTACATAAAAAATATATGTACATAGATATAGATATATTTCTAAAAAGGTGAAAGTTAGGTAAACTAAACATTCACTTACCAATTCCTTCAGAATTTCAAACCGTTTTGGATCAATCTTGAAGGACACCATTTTCTCCAGTATTTTTCTCAACAGAACATCAAGTTTATCATTGTAACCTTTCACTGATAGCTGAAATGTAAACATAATGAAATCAATGACACAGAAGTTTTCAAAATAAAAATGTAAATGCACATTATGCCTTGGAAATAAATAAATTTTTACTTCTTTAGATACAGCTAATATGAATTTTATAATGTTTCAATAATGGTTTTAGACAATGTTAGATGCTTTATACCAGAGGAAAGTAATGTGAAATAATTTGTTATGAAAGAAGGAAAATGTAAACAAAGTAGTATTTTGACTTCCATACAAAATACGCATACACTATAACTGTACTTGTTGCCAAAATGCGAAGGATGAAAAAAGATGGTTCAGGTAATTGGCCAATGAGTAACTTTTTGTTTACTATAAAAGTATACCAATATTAAAAAGCTTTTGAGAAATAAAATTAAAATCATTTCTGAGGTATAATGGGTCTTTAACTAAAATCCTAAATAACACATAACTTGACTCAGTTTTGCTTTGTTACCTTTCAAACCAATATGATAAATTTCAACATGAAATAGAAGCACCTGCACATATGGGATCAGGAGTAGAAATAAAATTACAGTAATTTTTAGCGCATTTTAACATATAAACTTTCAAATGTCGAGAACAATATATAAATCCATTTGAGCAAAAGGCAAATTTTTTTAAATAAGTAACCATCACAACTTAAGGTTGGGTTTTACGTTGCGCCAACAACATCCCTGGCAGGATTCAAAACCTACAGCCATGAGGGGCAAGTGATATTTCAATAATATAAGTCAACAATCTTATTCTCTTTCGCCACAGACACCTCTTATAACAACTTAGTATTCTAGGTCTTCTGCATACATGACTTCTGATGACCTGCCTTACATGTTACATTTTTTCATCTCGGCATCTCCTTTTAACAGAGCTCAAATCTATAAACCATTGCTCACCAAACTCTTTTGAAAAGCTAACTCAACTGAATAGATCTTTTGATTGATTTGGGTTTTATGTCACACCGACACAGTATATGTCATATGGCGACGTTCCAGCTTTACTGGTAGAGGAAGACCTCAGGTGCCCTCCTCCACCAGTAAAGCTGGAATAGAAATATATGTATATATAAAAATAAAATCCAGAAAGCAGCATTAGCCTGAAATATCTGCAGAATCAGAATAAAAGTAATAAAAGCTTGTGTTTCAAATAGAAAGCAGCAAGTGTTAGCCTGATATACCAAGAATAAAGGTAATTAAACCTGGTATTTCCACCAGTACAAATTGTTGGCCTGATAGTTAAATATACCTAGGGTAAAAATAACAGAAAGAAAAAGAGGAGTTTGTTTGTTTGTTTGTTTCATTTTACGCCTTTTCCCAACAGTATTTCAGTCATATAGACGGGTAGTTTCCTAACCATCAGTCCTGGAGAGTTACACCAGTACTAGATTACCTTCCTCCGTGCTAAACTACCAAAGCATCTCCCGGGGATCGAACCCATGCCAGAGAGGTAACTGGATTAGAAGTCATCGACTATAGCCCCTCGACCACGGAGGCGGTCATTCTACCATAAAGCAGCAAGAGTTAGCCTGATATATGAATATACCCAAGGTAAAAGTAAGAAAAGCTGGTGTTTCTACCTAAAAGCAGCAAGTGTTTGCCTGATTTTTCTATTTACCTAGTGTAAAAGTAAGAAAAGCTGGTCATATTACCTTAAAGACATAAACTGCATGTTAAGTTTTATAAGCACTATGCAAATTGGAAAAAAAAGAAAAGCTGGAATCTTCAAAAAATTTATGTTGAGATTAGTTTATACATACAAATGTAATTTATTTTAGTTTGATTGTTTAGGATTCTGTAAGCTTATAGACATACTCTCTAGTATGTTCCAGTACTGAACAATGAGTGAAAAGTTTCATGCTCAAGGAAACAACAGCATGCCCTTGACGGGGTTTGAACCAACGCAGCTGTCAATCCTTTGATTACAAGTCTGCATAAGCCTGTCAACCATACTGCTACTTCAATTTATGCTGTGTTTGTCCATAATTAACCATCTTATTAAAACTTACAGATATTCCATATGTGGTGCCTAAAAACTTACAGATATTCCATATGTGGTGCCTAAAAACTAACAGATATTCCATATTTGGTGCCTAAAAACTTACAGATATTCCATATGTGGTGCCTAAAAACTTACAGATATTCCATATGTGGTGCCTAAAAACTTAGATATTCCATATGTGGTGCCTAAAAACTTACAAATATTCTATATGTGGTGTCTAAAAACTTACAGAAATTCCATATGTGGTGCTACTCAGGCTGTACTTGAGACCAGCAAGTTCTGCATCATAAGCATATTCGTTCAATGAATCCTGGAACAGCTGAACAAACAACACTGACATGTTTGTATGTAAGGGGTCTATATACACCAAAGGACTAAAATAAATAAATAAGATGGGTTATTGTAAAGCAAGCAAAAATGAACAGGTTCATATCACATTATATGAGTCAGTGCTACACATTAAACAAGAGCCGGTTGAACCGGGTGATGCTCCCCGAATAGGTTTTGGACACAGGAAGGTATACCTCTTGTTGTGTCAGAGTTATGTCACAGACAAAGTTCAAAGTGTAAAAACAACCCAAATATTGTGCACGACACATTGTCTCAATATGGTGATCATTTTTGTGAAATAGTTGTAAAATCCGACTTTAAATAACAAAGTTATGCGCCTGACATTATTTTGCTGCAAGGTCATGCTGTGACCTTAACCTTCAAGGTAGTGACCCAAATGTTGCATGCGACAAGTCGATTCAATATGGTGATCATCTCTGTGAAATAGTTGTTAAATCCGACTTCAAGTAACAAAGTTATGGGCCGGACACGATTTTGCTGCAAGGTCATACTGTGACCTTGACCTTCAAGGTAACAACCCAAATGTTGCGCGCGACACAATGTCTCATTGTGGTGATCATTTCTGTGAAATAGTTGTAAAATCCGACTTCAAATAATGAAGTTATGTGCCGGACACAATTTTGTTGCAAGGTCATGCTGTGACCTTGACCTTCAAGGTAGCTACTTAAATGTTGTGCATGACACGTCATCTTAATATGATGATCATTTCTGTGAAATACTTTTTAAATCCAACTTCAAATAGCGAAGTCATGGGCCGGACACAATTTTCCTGCAAGGTCATGCTGTGACCTTGACCTTCAAGGAAGCGACCCACATGTTGCGCGCGACACATTGTCTCAATATGGTGATCATTTCTGTGGAATGTTTTTTAAATCCGACTTCAAATAACAAAGTTAGGGACCGGACACGATTTTGCTGCAAGGTCATGCTGTGACCTTGACCTTCAAGGTAGCGACCCAAATGTTGCGCGCGACACATCGTCTCAATATGGTGATCATTTCTGTGAAATATTTTTAAAATCCAACTTCAAATAACAAAGTTATGGACCGACACAATTTTGTTGCAAGGTCATGCGATGACCTTGACCTTCAAGGTAGTGACCCAAATGTTGCGCGCGACACGTCGTCTTAATATGGTGACCATTTCTGTGAAATATTTTTAAAATCCGACTTCAAATAATGAAGTTATGGACCGGACACGATTTTGCTGCAAGGTCATGCTGTGACCTTGACCTTCAAGGTAGCGACCCAAATGTTGCGCGCGACACGTCGTCTCAATATGGTGATCATTTCTGTGAAATAATTTCAAAATCCGACTTCAAATAACAAAGTTATGGGCCGGACACGAATTCGGGACGTACGTACGGACGGACGGACAACCCGACGACTATATGCTCCCCCGAAATTTTTCGGGGAGCATAATAAGTGTTATTATATAATCTTAATATTACACACATGCATGTATATGTATATAGAATATATCTCTCCTTCTTTAATGGCATTTAGAAATATTTTTGACTTATAAACCTTGTTTTATCGTATGCAAGTTATATAATTTTTATTAAACATAATTTTAACAAATTTTACCTGGTCAATTCAAAGCTAGCATATGCTTTTGGCAGATGGAATTTATCATCCTGTTTGAACCATAACCTCGTCATTGCTGTGTCCTAAAACACGTTATCTTGCATATGTACATTAACACATAATATCACATATTACATCAGCATATTAAACATTAACATATTAAATCCTTATTGTAATTGAAGTGACAAAGTTTTGTGAAAATGTCAAAAAAAATAATGGTAGGGTTAAATAAAGAGGTCATTTAACATGGTTGAGAACAATATTGACTCTATTCCTAATCCAATATAGTTTTTGACAGTTGTGGGCTCTTTCAACAGATTTCAGTATTGTACTAAAAAATGTATAATAACCTCATAATATCACATCATATCATAATAATAACATATTTAATCACATATTACTTTTGCTTTTATTCAATTTATAGTAATTTCAATATAGAATGTTAAAAAGTAAAAAGTGTGAAGCATGTTACATTGTATGATGGACTTACCTTCAACATTGCTGGAACACAATTTTGCTGTAAAATAATAAACATACATGTTTTTAATTCACAGAGGATATGAAAATCTTAATTTCAATATACATTACTATAAGAGCAAGAGCTGTCACAGGAGACAGCGAAGCTCGACTAATTAAATACTGGACGCAGTAAGGTATATAAAATTATAAAAGAAAAATCAATTATGATATAAATATATTTCTTCTTATGACAAGAAGTTATAGTTAAAAACATAAATTCTAATTTCAAGGGGGAAAAATTCTGGAAATAGTCACACTAGAGTTATGGACATACATAACATGTATGTAAAGATAAGAAATATATATTTGAAGTTTGAAGTAGATACCTTAAAAGGTAAAGAAGTTATAATATTTCTTAAAGAAAATTCAAAGTTCAAAGGGAGATAAATTTGAAAATATTGCTTCAAGAGTTAAGAACCCTGTCACATAAGATCTGGTTGTTAATAAGGAATATGTATTTGAAGTTTGAGCTAGATACATTTAAAACTAAATAAGTTATAGTAAAAAATAACATTTTTCAAGTAAGAAAAATCTAAGTTAATGGGGAAGATTATTTTTGCAATATTGGTGCTATAGTTATGAACCTTGTCACATGAGATGTGGTTAATGATAAGGAACATATATTTGAAGTAATAAGTTGATTCCCTTAAGAAATAAAGAAGTAACAGTCAGTAAAAATATTTTTTAAGGAAAATTTTAAGTTTAAGGGGAGATAAATCTGGAAATATTAGTGCTAGAGTTATGAACCTTGTCACATAAGATGTTGTTGATGATAAGGAACATATATTTGAAGTATGAAGTTGATCCCTTAAGAAATAAAGAAGTAACAGGAAATATTTTTAAGGAAAATTCTAAGTTCAAGGGGAGATAAATCTGGAAATATTGGTGCTAGAGTCACATAAGATGTAGTTGATAATAAGGAACATATATTTGAAGTTTGAAGTTGATACCTTAAGAAATGAAAATTTTATAGTGAATAATATTTTACTGCACCAAAACTTTAATCTGAAATCTGGATGCGGACGCCTGGGTGGGTAGGACAGCTCTACATATACTTTGTATAGTCGAGCTAAAAAGAATAGGAACCCTCCGGTACACATATAATCTTTTAACAAAATCATCAATTTATATTCCACAGTTACTTCACCACTAGCTAAAATATAAGAATAAAACTTTTGATGATTTCTTTAGACTTAACCTGCAATATCCAAAAGTATTCAAACTTTGCTACCAGTAATATTTACCAGGCTAGCCTGAAATTTTGTATTGCTACAAGGTAGGTTTCTGAGACATTTTTAAAACAAGAATCTCATTTGCAATACCTCACAACAAGAAATTTCAAATTTGTTATTCTTTGTTCACTAAGTACTTAACTTTTTTAGATTATGTGTAGTTAATATGTGTAGTTAATTAATAAAATTGTCAATAATTAAGTGTTTTCATAATGGATGTGTTATTGAGCTCAAGACTGTCATATTAGCCTGAGGCCATTATTGAAATCTCTAAATTTGGAATGGAATGATCAAAATTTAAATCTCAAACAAAATTGATAAAACAAACTCGTCAGGTTCATGTTTAATTTACTTATAATTTCAGATACTATATCAAACAATTCTCATTTAATTGATCATTTTGTAGGAATCATTTTGTTTTTAATTGTTCTCAAAGCTAATTCTTTGTTCTTTATACACATACCTCTGTCTCCCTGGTAACAAGGTCAAAGTTTGTTGGTATAAACTCATTTACAGCTGGTAAACTTAGGTTTTCATGGAAACCACAAGTATCCCACATCTGAAAATACACATAATTTTTGGTTCCATTTTTAACATATACTTTGCTTATCTTTAAGTAAAATACTTTTATTGTGGAAATTTATTGACATGTATTAAAATTTAAACTTCTACTTAATTTGTCTTATTTGAATTAAAGAATATACAAACTATGCATTGGGAACTACATTCCCAATTTTGGGTCAAGTAAAGATGATTTTTTTCTTTGAAAAAAAAAAAAAAAATGCCTGTTTTTTCAATGACACTATATATTCATATTGTGCCCAGCTACAATGAGTATTTTCTTTGTGTAAAGTAGTAAATAGTAAACATTTTAAATATGGGTCTATCTGTTAGGAGTAAACAAATACATTCAGCTATGGGAGGGTCAATTAAATAATATTCTTGTTGAAAATATTTATAATTGGAAAGGAAAACATTGGCTCCAATTTAGGTCCTAGACAATAATAGAGCCGTGTCACGACAAAACCAACATAGTGGGTTTGCGACCAGCATAGATCCAGACCAGCCTGCACGGATGATCAGGATCCATGCTGTTCGCTTACAAACTCTATAACAAGTAGAGAAACCGATAGCGAACAGCATGGATCCTGATCAGACTGTGCGGATGCGCAGGCTGGTCTGGATCCATGCTGGTCGCAAATCCATTATGTTGGTTTTGTCATGACGCGGCTCATATTTTGATAATTTGAGGTTACATAATAACATTGTCTTCACTTTACAATGTACTTTGTTACTTATGAAGATTACAGATTTATTTGTGTGTGTATAACCTTAAGTTTATCTTGTGGTATAGGCTCCAGCTTGTATTCTGTACCATACCATTCTTCCTTTTTGTCTGTCTGTCCCGCATACTTCTTAGCAATCACTGAGATTCTGTCAAAAATGTAAAATAACCACAATAGATCTCCAGAGTTCAAGTCCTTCCATGAAAAATTGATTCAAGACAAGCTGTCTAATGCTACAATTTGTCACCTTAGTGCAATAACTTGTTAACTCCTATTAAATTTAATAGCACTTATTCCATTACTGCACTAAGGTGGTGATATGTCCTCCAAAACTATGTCTATGTGATTGATTGAAATAAAAAAAAAAAAAAAAAAAAAAAAAAAAACTTGCATATGCATGTAAGAAAACAGGTTAGAGGAATTATTGTAAAAGTATGGTCTGCTTGCAGATGATTGAAATTCAATTTTTTAATGATAACAAATTTTGAAGAAAAAAGATATCACAATTACTTGAAAATGTTATAAGATTTCATTTATGCTAGATGAAAATCTGAAAGAACTATTTCATTGTAAAACTCTTAAAAGAACAAACATGTTATTGAAGTATAATTCCTTGTAGTCTTTGAAATTTAAATTTATCTGAATTCTCAAGATACCATTATGGGCACATGATAAATTTTCAGTTTTTTGGTTTGTTTTTTGTAGGAGGACCAAAGGTGCTTTTGAAAGCACTATTTTACTTAAACTGCTGAAACAGAACAGAACAGAACAGTACTTTATTATCTCAAATCAATAGATATATAAGATTACGGAGTAAATGCAAATTTCAAATACATCACACGTGTTGTGTGCAAACAGTTATAAAGTGATATTTTCAGTAATTTTGAATATTCAGTTACTATAATAAGAACATTGAAGTGGAGGGGTGGGGGGTAAATGCAAGAATTATAACATTAGGCGACATCGTAAATTTGAACAGGTGTGCAAATGGCATGAATCTTAAAATAGACTATAGACAATTGTAGGTGTATTGATATTCATTTCCATTTCAGTCTTTAATCAATTGGTCCAAATTTGTTGAGCTTGAATTAGATTGATTTGAATTACATGCTTGAACCATGAGTGATAAGCTATTGCCAAAAAACTGCAGTACCAGGCTCTATACTGTTAGAAGCTAATCTGATATATTTTGATATTGAAATCCATTAAACTTGAAATGGACTGTCCAATAATCAAATCAGGGCAAGTCTATTTAATAAATTCAGCAGGTTAAGGGGTTAAAGAATCCGTTCACACCTGGAGAGATCTTTCATAAGCATGTTTATCAATGCAGTGAGTTGGAAGATATTCAAAAGTACCAAACTTACCTCATATTAGTTGGGATCAGTTTTTCCAGTAACATGTCCACTAATTCAGGCTTGTATTCGGTCATCATATAGTGAAAACTTAAACACTCTTCTAATGGAACATCCTACAATATATAAGCCGCGTCACAACAAAACCAACATAGTGGGTTTGCGACCAGCATGGACCCAGACCAGCCTGCCCATCCGCACAGTCTGATCAGGATCCATGCTGTTCGCTATCAGTTTTTCTACTTGTTATAGGGTTTGTAAGCGAACAGCATGGATCCTGATCAGACTGCGCGAATGCGCAGGCTGGTCTGGATCCATGCTGGTCGCAAACGCATTATGTTGGTTTTGTCGTGACGCGGGCTAATTGTAATGTTTCAACTTAACCAATTTACACTAAACAATTTACTGTCAGCACTTGATACTGGATTCCATAAGAACATGCCTTTGAAAATTTCTAACTAAAATAGGAGGCATATTTAAGTCAGCTTCTATGACAGAGATGTGTTATCCTGCCTATCAGTTGAGATGATTGTCATAAACAAGTATAACAATTTTCAAATCATTATCTCAAATGATTCAGTGAAAATAACCATATGGACTTAACCATAGGGAATGGTACAAAACAACTTTATCAAATAAGGATACTGAAATGGACCAAATGGCTGAAATGGACCAATGGCAAGTAGGAAAACTCTCCCTGTCCTTTAAATAGTTGAATGTAAAATGAAGTTAATTACGGCATTATAAAATATATTAACAAAGGAACTCATCACATGTAAATAATAGAAATATTAAATTATAAATTAAGTTCACTTACATGTAATATACCTGACAAAGCTGAAGTATAACCTCTGGGTCTCTCTTTGTCCTTGAACCGGAAATGCATGGCACTTAAATCCTGTCAGAAAAGAAATATATAATAATAGAATTAGATGGATGAATATCATTATTTTTGTCAAGCTCTAAAGGAATTCCCACTTTTTCTCCAATTTATAAACATTTAATAAGACTGAAAATTTTCTACGAAATCAATAAATATTATATATAAATACGGTATGAAGAATGTAGTAAAGAACTGAAATATACATCCTTATAAAACTAAAGAAACAAATAAAATGATTGATGTACATACAACGACTTTAATTTTGTGCTACTGTTGGTTGAATTTAATTCTATAGAATCAAATTGTGAAAGAAATGAAGAATATACTAATATTAATATAAAAAAGATAATGTTCACCTACAGCACATTCCTTGAATATCCATTCCTGTGGCCCTTCCTTCTTTAACATGTGTAAATACTGGTATATCAATGTAATTATATCATCAACATGCTCTGCAATATACAAAAATAAGAGTGACTTTATTGTTCGTAACTCTCCCACCTGTATACAACAAGAGGACCATAATGGCCCTTTATCGCTTAACCGAGTGTATACATTAACAGGATTTCCGAATTCACTCTTTCCTTCTGAGTTTCATAAAAATTTAGCATAGCCAATGTGAGGTAAATGCTATCTGAAACTTATTTTTATTTCAAGCTCCGATTGCCATAATGTGCAGCAGACTGGAACAAATCAATAAAACTATTTTGTAGAGCACCACCCAAGCATTTTTCTTACTGTATCATCAAAATCTAAAGAGATGTCATTCAAAGGTTATTTACATGTTTAGTTTTGACTGATTTGTTTAGCAGACTGGGACAATTTTAGCTATTTTTTCATATCTTTTTCACCTTTAAAGTATTGTTTCATATTCACATAAAACATGACAAATAGGAATACTAAAACCACTTGATGAAATAATTCTTAACGCAAAAACTAGCTTGAATTTAAATGTCTTACCTAAACCATCTGCAGTGAGATCCACATTTACAATAAAGAACATAAAACCATTGGCTCCCTGCTGTTGCCCTCCTACCAATGTATTCACCCAACCTATAAATATATATAATACATGCATTCACCCAACTTATAAATATATGTTATAGATGTAAAAACCAACAAGAATATTGGTAATACTGATGGATGATCTATGTTGTTACATAGACAAAGCTAAGAACATGACCTATCTGTGAGAGTGAATAGGAAAAATATTTTTAGCCTTAGTAACCTTGACCAAAATGACCTGAAAAATTACCCACATGTATAGGTAATTGGAAGAAACCATCTACAGTAATTATATAAATCAGTCAGTAATGTGGTGTAAGAAACTGACAGTAAACATGACAGAAGGATTGGCAAATGGACAAACTTGCAACTACAATGTATATCCTCCACTCTTTTTTTTGGAGCAAAATAGGAATCATTATATCATTACTATTTGAAATATTGCTTTATTTGATAGATTGAAATTAATTAGCCCTTTACTTCATGAGCATATTGTGAAAAATGGCTTTTTTCATTGAAAAGCCTCCTGTTACAAGATCAAACTGCTATGAAACTATGAAAAATGCTTCAATATTAATGAAACTTGGCACAAATGTTGACTGGACCATAGCCTCTGCAACAACATGCTCAATCATAAATTTCCTGTTACCATGGCAACATTGGGAAAGTCTCAAAATTGCCAAAAATTACAATTTTGCATCGTTTTGTTTTTTTCCATCAAAACTGATTTCAAAGTGCTGCAACTTCTCAATGGATTGAGATAGAGGAAAAGGCTTTTAAGCGTTTGTTACATGTTACCTTACAATCAACCTTAGGCCATCTTTAGCCTGTCATTTGATGTGAAGCGGCACCGAAAATGTGATCAGTTTTTTTGTCAACATTTCTCAAAACAAAAACAGTGTTCGAGGCCTAAATATGGCATTTTTTTTCAGTGTGGTTTCAAAAAGGGGGGAGGCAGGGAAACGCCATCAAAACACTTCTATAAGAGGTAAAGGTTTACTATATTAATTTAACCCATTCATAAGGGAAAATTACCTTTTTTTGTTTCCTGATGTACCTGAACAATATCACACATTACTTTTTCAGTTGAATTTTATGTCACTACAACAATGTGTAAGTCATGTGATCACTTTCAAGACTAACTGCTAGAGGTAAACCTCAGACACCAATTCAGGCAGAAGTGTAGAACCACCAGCCTTCCATAACTTAGCTGTATAGCTTCCTCCTAGGTAAGGATAGGATTTGAACAATTACAATCACCAGCCACACAGACTTGTTGCAAGGCTGCTTTAGGCAAAAATCAAAAAGCTTGAAAATATACTTTTCACTTACCCCTGAGTTTAAGTTCTGACAACAAACTTCCTTTCCCTTCATGACCAATCAAATGGCCTAGATAATGACCTGGCTATAAAAATACAAACACATGATATAAACAAGTTATCATAATTTACATGGACTGATTTGTTGAAATATAGACATAATTCAGTATTGCCTTGTATAGTTGAAACACGATACAATTATCTACCAGACAATGGTCATATTAAGTAATCTGACATTTAGTTTAAAGTATGGTTAAAGAACTGATATAGACCCTGATAAATCTCACATTAGTTTTTTAGTATGGTTGACCATGAGAAATCCTACATCAGTTTGAAAAAACAACAAGAAGTGCCGCAATGCGACGAAAACCAGGTTTTCAAAGACCAAGTTTTGATGTGACAGCAATTAATAGGTCAAAGTGCACTGAAGTTAATGAGTAGAAGCTGAAAATTCTATTGTAAGCAAATGACCTTGACCTTGCTCCAAGATATCTAAGTGGCAATCCAAAGCTGCCACACAGCAAGTTTGGTGTCAAAAGGTCAAAGCAAACTTAAGTTATTACATAAAAAAATACATTAACCTTGATCGCAGAAACCTGGGTAGCAATCTAAAGCTGCTCTTGATATAAGCTACCCTGCCCCAAGTTTGGTGCTAATAGGCCAAGGCAAACTCAAGCTATTGAGCAAAACCTGAATTTCTATTTTAAGTAACAGTGACCTTGACCACTGACACCTGGATAGCAATCCCAAGCTGCCTCTTGATATTACCTACCTATACACCAAGTTTGGTGTAAATTAAGGCCAAAGCAAACTCAAGTTATTGAGCTGAAACTGAATTTCTTTTTTTAGTAACAGAAACCATGACCTTGATTACAGACACCTTGGTAGCGAACCAAAGTTGTCTCTTGATATAACCTACCCATACACCAAGTTTGGTGTCAATAGCCCAAAGCAAACTCAAGTTATTGAGGGGGAAACTGAATTTCTATTTTTAAGAACTGTGACCTTGACCTTGATAACAGACATCTAGGTAGCAATCCTAAGCTGCCCCTTGATAAAGGCTACCTACACCAAGTTTGGTGTCAACAGGCCAAAGCAAACTCAAGATATTGAGCTGAAACTGATTTTCTATTTTCAGTAACAGTGACCTTGATTACAGACACCTGGGTAGTGAACCAAAGCTGCCTCTTAATATAACCTACCCATACACCAAGTTTGGTGTCAATAGCCCAAAGCAAACTCAAGTTATTGAGGGGGAAACTGAATTTCTATTTTTAAGAACTGTGACCTTGACCTTGATCACGTACATCTAGGTAGCAATCCCAAGCTGCCTCTTGATATAGGCTATCTATACACCAAGTTTGGTGTCAATAGGCCAAAGCAAACTCAAGTAATTAAGTGGAAACTGAATTTCTATTTTTAGTAACAATGACCTTCACCTTGATTACAGACACCTGGGTAGCAATCCCAAGCTGCCTCTTGATATAATTAAGCTAACTACACACCAAGTTTGGTGTCAACAGGCCAAAGCAAACTCAAGTTATTGAGTGGAAACCAAAAGTTGATGACCGCACGCCTGCCCGCTCGCCTGCTGCCGACTTCAGCATTACATAACCCGGTTTTCGTTGAAAACATGGTTAAAAAGTATGGTTGAAGAACTGGTATAAACCATGGTAAATCTTACATTAGTTTTATAGTATGGTTGGAGATCCGGTATAGACCAAGACACTGACAGGTTTCTAATGTCCTTCACTGGTGTTACATAGCACATATTCTGTAGCTGGGCGGGGCCAAAAGGATGCTCCTCCCAATGAGGGATAGTCACTTTCTTATTCTCCACCCCATGGAAATGTGGCACAACCATCTCTGTAAGTTCATCTAGTGATTCTGATGTATACAAAAAATACAACATATATAATTAGGGTAAAGGACAGATAAAAGAAATATATACATTTATACACATTTTTTTTATTATTTTCTAAATGAAACTAGAACTATCACTAAATGTGATTAATACCCCCACAAGTCTGCTTCGGAAATGAGGATGTTACTAGTAACAGAATACCTTGTAATAGAATTAAAACATAGAGTTATGTTTGTGGGCAATTAAAGATAATTGTGGTTCATGTATGTTGCATTTCCTTTCAATGTGGTTGGCCATTGATGAAGTTTAATTGAATTACTCTGTAATAAGTCCAGAAAGACAAAGAAAAAGAACAAAGGGCAATAACTCTATAAATACTGAAGATAGAGTTATAGTTCTTGTGCACTGCACTTCCTCTTATTGTGCTTGACCATTGTATGAAGTTGTTTTGAATTCCAACCAGTACGTTTTAAGTTATGCTCCGGACAAGGAAAAGTATCAAAGGGCAGTAACTCTGTATTTTGTCAAAATGGAGTTATGGCTCTTGTGCACTGCACTTCCTTTTAATGTCCTTGACAACTGTATGAAGTTGTACTGAATTCCAAACAATAGTTTTCAAGTTATGCTCTGGACAAGGAAAAGTAACAAAGGGCAATAACTCTGTAATTAGTCAAGATGGAGTTATGGTTCTTGTGCACTGCACTTCCCCTTATTGTGCTTGACCATTGTATGAAGTTGTTTTGAATTCCAACCAGTAGTTTTCAAGTCATGCTCTGGACAAGGAAAAGTAACAAAGGGCAGTAACTCTGTAATTAGTCAAGATGGAGTTATGGTTCTTATGCACTGCACTTCCTCTCAATGTGCTTGACCATTGTATGAAGTTATAATGAATTCCAACAATAAGTCTTCAAGTTATGGTCCTGACAAAAGAAAGCAATGGAAAAGTAACAAAGGGCAATAACTCTGTAATTAGTCAAGATGGAGTTATGGTTCTTGTGCACTGCACTTCCCCTTATTGTGCTTGGCCATTGTTTTGAATTCCAACCAGTAGTTTTAAAGTCATGCTCTAGACAAGGAAAAAAAACAAAGGGCAGTAACTCTGTAATAAGTCAAAATGGAGTTACGGTTCTTGTGCACTGCACTTCCTCTCAATGTGCTGGACCATTGTATGAAGTTATAATGAATTGCAACAATTAGTCTTCAAGTTATGGTCCGGACAAAAGAAAGCAATGGAAAAGTAATAAAGGGCAATAACTCTGTAATTACTTTAGATAGAGTTATGGTTCTTATGCACTGCACTTCCTCTCAATGTGCTTGACCATTGTATGTAGTAATATTGAATTCCAACCATTAGTCTTCAAGTTATGGTCCGGACAAAAAAAAGAAGGCAATGGAAAAGCAACAAAGGGCAATAACTCTGTAATTACTTTAGATAGAGTTATGGTTCTTGTGCACTGCACTTCCCCTTATTGTGTTTGACAATTGTATGAAGTTGTTTTGAATTCCAACCAGTAGTTTTCAAGTTATGCCCCGGACAAGGAAAAGTAACAAAGGGCAATAACTCTGTAATTAGTCAAGATAGAGTTATGTTTCTTACGCACTGCACTTCCTCTCAATGTGCTTGACCATTGTATGTAGTTATATTGAATTCCAACCATTAGTCTTCAAGTTATGCTCCGGACAAGGAAAATGCAATGGACAAAAAAAAAAAGCAATTGAAAAGCAACAAAGGGCAATAACTCTGTAATTACTTTAGATAGAGTTATGGTTCTTGTGCACTGCACTTCCCCTTATTGTGTTTGACAATTGTATGAAGTTGTTTTGAATTCCAACCAGTAGTTTTCAAGTTATGCCCCGGAAAAGGAAAAGTAACAAAGGGCAATAACTCTGTAATTAGTCAAGATAGAGTTATGGTTCTTGTGCACTGCACTTCCTCTCAATGTGCTTGACCATTGTATGTAGTTATATTGAATTCCAACCATTAGTTTTCAAGTTATGCTCCGGACAAGCAAAATGCAACGGACGTCTGGACCGACCGACCGCCCGACCGACCAACCGACCGACCGACCACCGGGTGACTCCTATATACCCCCCCAAACTTCGTTTTTGGGGGTATAAATATATATTTTTCTAAATACTTCTTTTTTTTTTAAATAAAAGAACAGTACTGTATTTTGTGAACAGTGGGCCTAAGTTATTAGGCTGAATCATTTTGACACACAAGGTCAATGTGACCATGACCTTTTACCCCTTGACCCCAAAATCAATAGGAGTCATCTACACCCCAAGGACAAATGCACTTGTGAAGTTTGAGAGTCAAGGGCCCATGAGTTGTTGAGTAATTGGTTGGAAACCGCTTTTTAATACAAGGTCAAGGTGATCTTGACATTTGACCCCTTTCCCCCAAAATCAATAAGGGTCATCTACTTTCCAAGACCAATGCACCTGAGAAGTTTTAGGGTGCCCATAAGTTGTCAAGTTTTTGGTGCCAGTAAATCCAAATCAATAAGGTTCATTTTCTGGTCATGACCAATCTCAATACCAAGTTTAAAGTTCCTTGGCTGAAGCGTTCTCAAGTTTTGATTGGAAATGGTTTGGTCAGTCCCACTAATCAACCTATAGACCAACATGTGCAAAGGAGGACAAAATAAAAGAATCAAATAGTTAATATACCTTTTCCTAGTACAGTCAGCCCCATGATATTAGATGAGTACAGTTTATCGTGAAACTTGAGTAATTCATCCCTTACATCGTACCCTAGCTCCTTTGACCTTGTCTCTAATGTGAACTTGTTTCCTAGCAACAATAAAATATACTCACATGATAAATATCCATTTTTTGTAACTTCCATTATGAGTTTCTTGGATATCAAGAAGACAATTTAAACATCAACATAAGTGTAGGCTGGCCTGGCTCTACACTGATTGATAATCACTTTCAATCTAATGTATAAAGTAAATGATATATTGTCTAAAAAAACAATGCAATATTTTATGATATACATACTATCTATATGCATTATAATATTTGCACATAGTATACTGCGAATTCACTTATATTCGTTGGCATGAAATTTCGTGGTTTTATCAAAACGGGCATTTTCGTGGGTTCTTAAATTCATGGATTTTCGTTTTCTTCTTAAAAAAAATTCAGTAACCTAATGCAAAGTAATCTTAAACTTAATTGCCGAACATTTTACTTTCAACATGTACATATCTTTACTTGTCACACAGTGCTTGTCAATAAATTTAATCCTTGCCTCTGGACATAACTCTAATATAGCACAGTTACTGCCGATAATTGACCGCAATTGACATGATATGCACCTCCATTGGACACACTTCCCCTGTAATTCGCCAATGTAAACATTGCATAATTTATACGACTCCTGACAGGTTTTAACCAGCGAGTTTAAAAGTTGACACCTGAATTGGCCTTAAAATATTTGACAGTACACGCAACGTCACAGCGACTGTGTAAATTTACATGTATATAAATTAATCTCGGTACATAACACGAGTGAAAGTCGGTGGCCTCTTTGATGTTAATGGAATAGCATTCGCACAAATACAGAATAAAATTCATATAAATTTGATCATTTAAAAACGACAAAAGAATGTACAATAAATCTATTTTAGCGATCGTATTTTTTTATAGTTTTGTGTGCTTACGACATAAATATCAAAGACTTTTTTTAAATTAATAAGAACAAACTGACAATTTTCATTAGCGCTAATTATTGCACTGCCTGGGTTCCCATATTTACCCCATTATGTCAAGTATTCTTGATAACACAATCAAGTCCTAATAGACCAAAACGATCAAGTATGTATATGCGACATTTGTGACAGTAAATTGAGGACATATAATAATAGAGTTTTCTTTCAAGTTTCTTAAATATTGCAAACGGATTTAATATGTCACTAACTTGGTATCTGTCTGTATTTACATCCATTTCATGAAATATCGGCCGGAAAAGAGCCGACGCATGTTTGTAATATATAGAACAGAGACTAGGTATGAAGTATTTGTTGGGATAAAAGTTCGTCGGATCTTAAATTCGTGGATTGACCTACCCACGAAAGTTTGTGCGGCACGAATAATAATGATTTTACAGTATAGAGACGGTATAGAGATATATTAAACCCCATTCAGTGGAGTAGTTATACTTTAACAGCATGTCATTTCTAAAGTTATGTTTGACATCAACTTACATGTCAACATTTTTTTCATAAATTCTGCACATAATTATGCGCTCTAAGACTCATCTTACTTAGTAAAAAATTGTAGACAACATCAGAACGTAAGGATCATGGCAACCAATTATTTCATATGTTGAAATCAGGTAACAACTAAAACTGCTTGTAATAAAGCAGTATCTTACCTGTTCCAAACTTGTGAAAGTCATGTGTGGGTTTTGCCAGGGATTTTTCCAGTTGATGTAATCTCCATGAGTCATTCTGTAGATTTTTGTCATTTTCAGAGTTAACCGCATTGATCTCCCTTTCTGTAGCAGAGGGTGTGAATAAAGGCTCATGGAAGAACTGGGAAAATCTGAAATAAAAACAAAACATTATTCTAAAAAGTTTTTGGATGGCCTTTTCAAGGTTAACACTCCTGACATTTACCCTCTCTGGAGGGACTTCAAAGAAAAAACACCATGTCTTTTCAATGTTGACAGATGTGTAGATAAGGCATAAATACACATCACTATGGTTTCTTAAGAGTGCTTTTGGTCTAGTTGAGCTTACTTTTAGCTTTGTTAGTATTTTCAGTAGGGGATTCCCATCTCAAGTTTTCAGAACCCCTACAGCAACTCGGAAGAGCTTTTGTGGACAGTATAGTTTATCACTGTGACTTGAGTGGTTGTGTAGAAAGGCAAACATCAAGATGTCTATAATGAGTTCTATTGACAAATATAACTAACATTAACCTCAAGTATTGAACCAGCCGAGCCTGTATATCTATACAGCCTGACCAGACAACATATTAACAAGTGTCTTATAACTGTGCATTGCCATGATAATCAAGTATTCAAAGTTTCATGATGACATCTTTCATATTTGGAGTCATTCCACTAAATAAGTTATTTTGACAAAAATTTTAACTTAAGAAGGGGCATTACTCTAAAATATACTTTCAGAATAATGCCCCTTGTCTAACAACCTGCTTTACCATGATAAGTATTCTATAATATATATAATCTTAAAAATTATAATATATTTAATCTTAATAACTATTATATATATATGATCTTAATAACTATAATATAATTTGATCTTAATAACAAACAAATTAAAATAAAGGAAACAAAACCTTTCTAAGCCGAGCCTTATAAATATTATTTATCATAAATTGTAAATGACTTTTACCTGTCTAGGGCGCCACTAAGATGTTCTGGTGCTATATCAAAATAGTAATTGGTGTGTTCATTTGATGTAAATGCATTGGAACTTCCAGCATGCTCGTTGAGATACTAAAATTACACACAAAAAAACCCTGTACATTTTGGTAAATAGATATTACTTGATGATGTGTAAATTCCCTATTTATTTCTTAACAACTTGCCCTGTAATGATTTCTCAGATCAGTGGTATACATATCATCACAATACGGATCAGATCACAGGGACCAGGCACAGTGTTGGAGAAGTGTAAAAAGTAATTCTAGAACTGTATATATAATATATACAGTATATTTTTGTTCTAGCATTGCTTTTTACAATATCCCATCACTGTGCTAGGTCCCTGTAGATCAGATATTGGTTTGTCCTACAATCACTGGATTGAGATTTACACCTCAATTTTAAAAAAATCAATCTAATAACTGATAAATTAATATAATAAAAAATAAATTAATATAAAAAAAGTTTAAAAAGAAATCTCATTACTAAACTTTGTTCTTTTTACATTCACATGCATTTAAACTGTTCTTAATCAATTTATCATCAGCTTAAGTTGGGAGATAAACTTTAACGGTAAACTGTTTTTAAACATTGACCTTATGGATATTTTAATTGGGCTTGTTGTCCAACTGCCATTTTTTTGGATCTGTCCATTATCAACTTCAAGGACTTTAAGGGGAGCGGTGGCCTTGTGGTTAAGGTGTCTGCGTCTCAACCCAGAGATCATCAGTTCGAGCCCTACTTGGGTCACGACCATGTTTCTTCATATGACACCAGTACTGGTTGGTTCCAGGAAGCACACTTGAAAGTGATAAATATAAGTTGCAAGAACTTGTTCCGCAATTGAGCTTAAATAAATATGTTTAAACTAACTTCAAGGATAGTCAGCTAAAACTTTAAATAGACTGTCAGGTCAGACTGTATGGATGTGCAGGCTGGCCTGGCTCAGTCTATACTGATAGCAAAGGCTTATCACTTTTGGTACCAGCAGGATAAAGTAAAGAAAATGCTAGTTAAAACATTTGTCATTCACAAACAAAAAATCCTTGGATATAAATCTCTTCATTTCTCTTCAAGATGCACAAGTATGTAATTACAAAACTTACCTTGGTGTATTCATTCTCTTCAGGATACTGAAAAAAAAACACATATTTTTTTCCAATTAAAAGATTATCTAAAATTTAACATAAATAAACCTTTTGCACTTTCAATTGCTAACGCACATGCTATTTTTGTAAAAGACTGTTTTCAACTAGGCACAATCATTAATCTATTTACTGTCATTTGGATTAAATCTAATCAAGAATATTACTATAATGTAAATCCCAAGTAATTTCACGTACATCATTTTAAATGTTGTTCCTTATACATGTCTGTCATATATAAAATATGTGTATCAACTTGAAAGATTAACTTCATTTTGCTTCAAAAGATAGCTCTTATCTTTATTTATTCCTGCCTTTTTGTTTTTTAACCGCATTTACGGCCCGTTCATTTTCAAGAAAAGTATACATACATGATAACTATGGCATTTATGTAGATAATACATAACATAATTATGTATGTAAATACTTTTCTGTTGTGGATTATAGCCATGGAAAATTGAAGATTTAAGACATTACATGAAGTTATTTAAAGAAGCTCAATTATATAAAATACACAAGAAAAAGGAAAAAAATCTGAAGCAAATTGTTACTGGGAAGTGTCTTACCTTTTTTGTTCCCAGAAAGAGCATATGCTCACAGAAATGTGCAAGGCCTGGTATGTCTTTCGGATCTTTCATATGTCCTAAATAAATAAAAAACTCAAGATTTTTGTCTGATGTATAAATGTTGACTAGCTTTATGATTAAAATGACAAATTGTCTAACAAATATTAAGAGCACTTTAATGCTATGTGTGTATATATGTTTAATGTAAATGATGTCACATTAAATACATGTTTGTGTAACATGCCATAGACAGTCAGTATTGTTGATAATAAAAATTCATAAAATTCACGTATGCAATTTATTGACATTATACAATGTATACCTAAACAGAGCTTGAAACATATTCTTGTACATGTTTATTCTATTAATTTTTATCTGAAATGTTTTCTTTTTCATGGGCTGTAAAAAAACACCACATACCAGCATAAACATCCATAGCAGCTGATGACTTGTCTGTTTGTTTATCACTAATGAGAAGTATCCTCATTCCATTGTTAAGTTCCAGTGCCCGGTATAATCGATCATCTCCAGCAGATTTGACAATTGTCTTGTCATCAAGCGTTCTTTTGATATGTGCAGCACTCATTGCTGATGAAACCCTACAGTATAATTAAAAGTTGTTATTTTTATCAAACAAATAACAGATTTTTGTCATTTAAGTTTATTTTAATTAACATAATTCATATACATGTAAATTACCTATCATGTCATAATTCTTAAACTGCCTTCTAGGAGACCTTTTATTCTGACAAGACTGAGGAGGTTGGGGAGTGTTTCTTGTGCATAGTGGCATTTCATAACCTTGTATACCAATACTTACATCTTAACCATTTTGTCAATCTTTTCAATGTAATTAGGGTCAATCTTTTCAATGTAATTAGGGTCAAAAATTCTATCAGGACTGTAGTGCTTTTAGATTACATTTACATGTATGATGTGTTTAACTTCATTGAAAACTCATTGAAAAAATATATCAATGTGCAATCTAACAAGTTTGAGTAAAATCCTTAGATGAGTGGGTGCACTGTGCAGCCATTTTAAAAAATCCTGGATTGGTTATATATATAGATCACAAAATACTTTTGACAAAACATTTAACAAAAGCATCTATAAAATTCTGACTGTTGCAAGAAGGCGCCCTAATTTTACTTCAAGTGGAAGTATGATATTGAAAATCTGAAAAAATATCATTTTCAATAAGTACTAAAGTACCTATGATAAACATTAAAATAAATTCTTTTTTTTTTAAATCCATTGTCATAAAACGTTTCAATAAAGATCAAACAACAACCCATCTATTGCACACCAGCTTGCATAACAATGGCATTCCACTAAATGTAATATATGAGCAGTGGTTGGAGATTGACAACAACTCTGATTAAAGTTAAACTTAATACCAAATATGGCGGACATAGAGAATACATGGTTGATGTCGGGATGGAGAAGGTTTATCAGGTGAGCAAGAAAATGTATCTTGGCAAGCTTAAGCGAGCCAAGATTCACTTTCTCAGCGAACCAGATAAACCTTCTCCATCCGACATCAATCATGTATTTGATTTATCCTGCTTTTAATTATAATGTATTTTAGAATAATTGAATGGTTTTCTTCTTACTTGTCCCCGATAAAATAGCATCTATATGTAGCTAAACATTTGACGTCATCATATCACGTAATGACTGGAGATAGATAGATAAATTTATCCGACAAGGCTTTGCCTTTAATTACTATATAACATAAGATCGACGAAACCACTTTCGCACCTCTTCAAAAATTAAGTTCGTCGAACCAGTAGTTCAACGAAACCACCATAATTCGACAGTAGCAGGATAAAAGATATTCTGCATACTGGTTATTAGAAAGATAACTACGACATAAAATCACATATTTTTTTGCAATATTTTATCTGTCTTTGGTTATATTTTAAAAATTGAACAGTAAAACCATGTTTATCAAGTGAAAGGATTTTCTCTGTATGGGAGTTATCAGAGTGATACGGAAGTCCACGGCTAGGCACTGCCACAATTTCCCACAAATAATAGTTCCAATTTGGCAGGCCAGAGGATGCCAGTGATTTTTCTGCTTATATAACTGACTCCGATAAAAAGCCTCTTTCCAATTGAATTTTTTCTTTAAAATCATGCAGTTTTCCCAATAATCTGAACTTAAACCTGCTTTTTTACTTCCCAAATTAGCATTTTTTGCGATAATTTTTCCCAAAATCAAGAGGCTAAGGCCGAGCTTCCCAATAAAGTGAGAAAAACAATGGCTGCCATCCTTATGATCTCAGACACAAAGTTACAATTTTGATTTAAGATATTTGTATATTGTAGGTGTAAAAATAAAACAGCCGTTCTGATTTTTTAAATATTTTTTGTACGGCTAGTCTGGGACATACGATGTCCCAGGGCTAGTGATGACAAGTCAAAACTTTCTTTGACAAGCTGTTATCAGTTGTTATGTACAAACGAGAAAATTTCACAATTATTTTGCAAGAAGGTGTTACCGTTTGCTAAATGGATTGATCTGTATATTTTTTATGCCTGATAAGATATGATTCAATCTACCAAATCTAAATAAAACCATCGGATTTCCTAAATTATTAAAAGCTGTAATTTGCTCTACATCAATGAACGTTTGATTTCCTCATTCATGCGCTTGCATAATGGAGAGTAGTCTGGTTTCACCGTATATTAAACAAAAGTCAAATAAATACCAAAAATAAGAATGAGTTATCTGTGGTATCAATTGACAATATTTAGCAAATGAAATTTTCACCCGTTACGCACGAAGTTATTGAGTCACAATAATAAGCCTAAGTAATTATAAAAATAGGAAGCCTAAAATAAATGACTATATGACTAGTTGTACTACCGAATTGTCTCACAGGCCTCGAGCCATCGGCAATGAACGAACGAATGAATAAATAAATAAATAAATAAATAAATTTTAGAAAGAAATAAGTCATTACGCTTCATTTGAAACGTTTCTGAAGGCTCTTCAGTGTTCTGGGCTCTTAATTAATTTTTAATATTTCTATGAATGATTTTTTACTTAATAGAGAAATTCTACATTTACAAATTTAAGTTTGAAATAATATTTTGTCCAATGAAATTGTTCCATTTTTGTCTTCAAATTCTTTGATACATTTTAACCCGTTTAATCAGCACCAACTTGTCATTTAATTAATACTATATATCCAGTTAAATCATAAAAAATAGATGCTGACTTTATTACTATGCATATATAGTAACACTTTAATGGATTTCCCCAACTCAAATTCAAATTTACACAATGTCATTCTTTAAAATGACAGGAAAATATTTATTAATTACTATATAAACAACACTTCTTTATTTAAAATTAAATTAAAGTCATGTAAAGTATAAAAACGATATATATCACTGTAGAAAGTTATTTCGACACTAGATAACGATTTTTTTTATATCAACATGTTTTTATATGCGTAAAATCCGGAGGAAACATAATCTGACTTTCATTTGAATAACATAGACAATGCATTCGGGTTTTTGTAAGATGAATTGGTGGAGACATGATTTCATACTGAACTTTTTACAGGACTAAAATAATTATGTTTCAATCCTTGGTTTAAATCACTTTACCTATTTTTTTCATGAACTTCCGACATCTTGGGCGGCATCTTGTTTTCTCGGAATTTGTACAATGATTACGAGTTGAAACCATAAGTCGTCATATTAACACCATCTCATCTTACAAAAAGACTTAATGCATGTTCTATGCTAGACAAATCTAGCTTCAGATCATATTTGTCAAAATTCTGCCCGACTGGTGAAGCATTAATTTTAACTGCGTAATAATATTACTAAAATATATCGGATGTTTAAAGTTGAGAAAAAATTGTGAAAACAAATATTCTCTAATATTGACAAAATGCGCACTTAAAAAATAATCGCGCGATACTAAATTGTTGGTCCCAGCAAACAAAATACGTTGTACCAACGTTGCACTGACGTTAGACCCTGACGTTGGGTAAACATTGACAGAAGGTTGGATTTGAAAGGATTTTAGACGTCAGAATCCGACGTCTATACAAACGTCATAAAATTACCTTTATCCAACCTTATCTGATCATAATCCAACCTTTTCTGACCATTATTGGGACATAATCCAACCTTTTCTGACAATAATCCAACCTTTTCTTACTATTATCTGACCATAATCCAACCTTTTCTGACCATAATCCAACCTTTTCTGACCATTATCTGACCATAATCCGCCACCTTGGAACGGTCAGCAGCATAATAATGACTGCTGGGGAGTTTAAACCGGTTAATGGTGCACCAGACCTCACTCTTAGCCCCACCATGTTCCTATAAACGAGACAGTGTAATTAAAATTAATTCCCGCCAAGTGAAATTCTAACAGTTTTTATGGTTACAAAAGGTTAAATAAGTAAAACACCAAAATGATCATGTAGAAGAAACATATAAAAGTAAACCCAATGACCATAACAAAAGTACTCAATGTCCTAAAGGAAGACAGAGCAACAAGGAAATCACCTACAATGGCCCGACGAAGCGAGGCAGAAGACGAACATTAAGACAATTTAGCCCCAAAGGGCTTTAAGAACTGTCCCTCATAGAGTCTCACACTATCATTTTTTATGGCTAACATTCATGCATGTTTTTCTTATATCACCAAGGCGTATTTCCGAATGAACCGATCACCCTGAGGTTGGGATTTTCCAATCATCTATCCAACTCACTGATTGCGTATTTTTCTTTGTACTTTTATCTGAAAGTTAAAAAGAACACTATTGTGAGCATTTTGATATTACTATATTATATACAGTAAATAGCAATGTTCATGTATCTTAATTAGCATTTTTCTTTCGTCCGCCTCCACCATGGCGATCTGGGGCATACTTTAAATTTTAAGCGTATCACAATCTGAACCTTTACCTTCTCCAACCTGAGATCTCATCACACTATCTGAAATTTGAAATAAATAAAATAATCACTTACAATTGGAAGAAATAAATCACTTTTACATATTACAATAAAATGAAATTCTGGCAAAACTCTCCAACTACTTTAACAAAAAGAGGCTTTTTTAACTTAAGTTTAAACCATGTAGTTTCATGTACCTATATATCCATTGATTTTGATAAAAATTGCTTCGTGATCAATGTAATATTTTGAAATATACCTGTCACAAAATCTTGGGTGTTTTTTCTTCTTTTTTTCCTCTTAATAATTTCATCTTCCTCCTCTGAACTTTCGACAGTTGTTGAATTATCATAATTTTCACAATCTCTGATATTTACTGAAAGACGAAACAATACTATGATTATCAAAGCACGTTTACGAAAACAACATGATAAAATGTTCAATTAATTTTTTTCATTAAGTATGAAATTATTTTTTTTTGTTTTGTTTGGGTTTAACGTCACATCGACACAGTATAGGTCATATCGCGACGTTCCAGATTTACTGGTGGAGGAAGACCTCAGGTGCCCCTCCGTGCATTATTTCAGGCACGAACGGGCACCTGAGTAGAACCACCGACGTTCCGTAAGCTAGCTGGATAGCTTCCTCACATGAAAGAATCCAAAGTCCCTGTTGGGATTCGAACTCACAGCGGTAAGGGGCAAGTGGTTTGAAGGCAACGACCTTAACCACTCGGCCACGGATGCCCCTAAGTATGAAATTAAGATTGTTTCCTGAAAATTAAGTCAGAAATTACGATTTTTGCAATTAAACATTGACCTTGCTAACAATAGCATTTTCAGAAAGTTTATAGTACTATTCGTACTCGATTTGTTGAAATGATTTTGTTTTAATTATATGACAATTTTGTGTCTACTGTATATAACGATATAACACATATCTTAAGTGGAATAGACTTCATGTTGTGCGTTACTATAAAGTTGGTCATACTCGGTTTAAAATTTAACCATTTGATGCAGGAATGTTTATCTAATATAAAAGGTAAAATCCAATTATATTTACTTCAATTTTGAGAGAAAAAAGAGAAAGAAAATTACAAAACATTTTTTATTTCTAAATTAGCAATGCATGTGCAATTTTTTGACTGATAGAATCAAAGATCGTGATAATATTCACCAGACCTTTTGTGCAATTTGTTGTTCAATCATACAGAGGTGTTTAAAGAAATAAAAATAAAAGTAAAACTTAGATCATTTATCTTCGTTATAACTCATAAGGGCATGTAAAATACCGAATCAATTCTACCTGCGCAAAATTTAACATGAAAATATTATTTTTTTATATTCATTATGATTTATACAAATGCTCATACAACATCAAAGAAATTCATTACGGTCATTTTTATAGATATCATCTCTGCCCTGCATGATCCGATCTGCTAAGAGTATAAAGGACAGACTGGCTGAGGGTACAAACGTTTTATGATATGAGTATATATAACTTGTTTCAATATATTTGATAAGCAGGCTAATTAGCAAACTATTATTTTCATTTATCCATAACCTTGATAACGTGTTTACTGACTGATAATATGTTGTCTGATTACATTAATGAAAAGATAAGTAGTCAAAAACAATGATGTTTCAGATATATCTCACAAAAATAGTATCATTCACATGTATCAAATGCCATGAATCATTATCATAATATAAGAAACACATGGTACTGTATGCTCATGGGTAAAGTACTTCAATTTAACAACATGTAGTTAAACAACTACGCAGACATCAAATTCAAACTGTGCTTGAGACCCTACAGTTTTCTAATACATTTGTAAATGACTAGCCCCTCATATCAGAGAAATTCATGTTGATAAGAAATAAGAGGAAATTTTATATGCCAGGATTTGGTAAATAGAGTCTAACGTACTGCATTTAACGTTTTATTGATTTCAATTGCTAGTATATTTCATACCATTTATTATGCAAAAAATAATTTGGCAGTGGCGATATAGCGTGGGAAAAATGATCCGATAACACAAATTGTTCTAAAGCAAACAATAAAGTGCTCTAACGTGGAAACGAAAATATTTATCTCGCGAAATCATGCGACTTTAAGTTTTATCAGTCAAACTTGTAATCAATGATCAATTATGCAAACATGCGGTAAATAAGCATTAAAAACAATATAATAACGTTTGCCTACCTTTTTCTATTTGTTTGGAATATACAACTTTGTCAACCCGTCGTTTTTGTCCGCCAATACAATTGAATTTCAAATCCGATAAGACTCCAATTCGAATTTACTAAATTATTTACCACTATAAAATGAAGCCCACAAAAATGATTAGAACTTTATTGTTAATTATTTAAACACTTCTTTGACTAATTCGAGGAGATAAGTTATTTTTAAGAAGAAAATAGAGCAAATATATATTATATTATTACTCCTCACTTTTTTCGTAATGCTAATTTCCCATAGGCCTCTGGGAGTTATTTTTACTGTTAATGCAAGTGTACCACGTGACTAAGCATTTTGTACTATTACATAGGTAACAGTATTTTTTAACAGAATAAAATCTGGTAACGTGGTCTATTTTCTAAATAAAATGAAATAAAATGGCCGCCATTTTTTCTCGATTCATTCTTATTTTCGACGTTCACCGCGATATGACATGACCATCTTCTCAGGAGTAACTATGACAACCATTAAATTTAGTTGTTTGCGCCCTGGAGTGCTTTTCGCGTATAAAATATATTTTTGTTGAATAATCAAAAAGTAAACATCCGTTTTCAACGGAAGTTATTGTAATGTGAATAATTATGTGTCAAAATGGAACATGCAGACGATTTAAGCATGCAACAAAGGATTATTTTACAATTTTAATCAGTGAAAAGCTACAGATATTTTGGACAGACATAGGATATCATCGTTACTTCAGTATCTTGTCAAAAAACATGCGAAGAATATTCTTGAAACAGAAGGATCAGATTTCACGGATCATAACCGTATAAATCACAGACGCTTGGGGGGTCAGACCCTTTTTCTAATGGTAAATAACTTTAAAATTATTTAAAGCAGTGTTCACGTTAGACTTCATGCAAATTTCATGCAATGCTCGATATTATTTTTATAATTATGGATAAAGATAATATTATTATATTAAATGACATTTCGTAGCTTAGATTCACCCCGAATCCTTGGTAATAGCGACCCTTTGGCCCAAGAACTGAACTTGGCCAATACTCAAAACAAGCTGCTGTATAAAGGAATTATATCACTTTACGTCTTATGTAATGATAATTTCTTTGAGTAATTAGTACTTATCAAAATAATCACCATTTCCTGGCAATTCATTTAACATGTCTTTAACCTGGCTCACCAGTTGAAGGTATATAATTTATACATATCAATTATTTTCTTAATATAAAATATTAGCAATTATCACATTTCTGAAAACGCTTGATTTTTTGTCTTGGAGAAATTTTATCTAAAAGACAAATGCTTTTTCAAAAGACGAAAAGGTACATGTACCTTTTGCGTGAACAAATCTTAAGCATCCCGAGAAAATGTTCGGCGAAATAAACGTGTTTTTCTTTCTCTTTATGAACAAGATAACTTGATTTGTGTTAAAACGTCTAATTAAATCGAATTAAAATCAGTTGACTAACACATCATTATCATATATTTTAGAGACTGAAGTTATGAGTAAATAAATCAACTTTCCTATACACTTTCACTGCATTTTATTCTATCTGATGTTTATACAAAACACACTGACAAGTTTAATGACGCCTGCTAGCACCGGAAATGAAGACTGATGGTATTCAAAAAGAAAAGCGTTCTTCCAAAATATATTATCTTAAGTTCTCTTGACATCTTCCTATATCCTCCCCCTCTAATGGCAATATTTTATAACTATCTAAAATAGTTTGGGGTTATTTTTGTGACTTAAATTTATACATAACAACGCTTTTTTCACATGATTTTATACACTGATTTCGTTCAATCTGAAGAGCAATATGACGCAAGACAATAATTAAATTAATATGTCAAAAACAAAGGATATATAACATATAACTGTACAATATCACAACATGCAGAATAACACAATAATAATAGTAATAATAATAAAGACTTTATTTAACGAGAGAACTCATTTGAACAACATATCTTTCTTGAAGCCCTCAATAAGGAACAATATAAATTTAGAATACACAAACGTAACATACTCGTACATGATATTTTAAACAAAGCATGGAATTGACACTAATAGAGCTTACACCGGTGTGTGATAACATCTCAAGTTTAAGGTTTTAAAATTATTTGCAGATGCATCAAATTTGATATAATGAGGAAGACCGTTCCAAATACAAGATAAAAAAAAATGACATCCAAAATTGTTCTGTATGTTAGATATGATTTGTTTATTTGTTAGAAACGTAATTATTTATCGATCGAAACTTGTTTGTATACCAATTGTTTATGTAGCAAAGCATGCAAAACACTCCAAAAACAGTAAGTACATTTTAATCACACTTCGTATTGCTTATCCCATACGTAAGCCCTACAATCTTTTACAACAAGGTTTTTACTTGTGACATTCTGTCTCAAAATATATTAATGCATTCCAGAAACTATATAGTTGGCTTACGTTTAGATTAGTTTTAGTTACTCTCTTTTTCTCCACAAAGTTGCAGGGTTCCATAGATTTTTCAATTAAATGTGAACCTCCAACCAACATTACAAGACTGGCGCCTAATTTTTCTGAAGCTATTATACCTGTAATGTAGGCATCTTCCACTTGAACATACGCTCTTTCATTTGCTTCTTTTACAACTTGAGGAAGAATGTTTACTGACAACACGTAAGCAGTTCCCGATGCATATCTTGGCAACCTATCTTTTTCATAAACAGACTTATCAATCGCCCATTTACCATGTCGCCATACTCTACTGTTACTGTATATGTATCCGAAGACAACTCCCTTTGGAGTTAATGTATGTCTTTTTAACTGTTGAATCAATAAAGCAACGTTAACAAAAACATCTTCGTCCGACTTAAGGACATACGTTGCATGCTTGCAATATTGACCTACCCATTTAAAACCATGCAACATTTTCAAAGTTAAGTTATGATAAGAGTCTGTGAAATCAAACTGAACTATATCATTATATTTGCTGTTTTCTCGTAAAACACTTGCATCCACAAAATCATTTTTACCCCTTCCGAGCAGAAACACGGTCCTCACTATGTATGGTATTTCTACACCATTTACCTTATTGATATTATCACGTGATAACTGAGCGTATGTTTCTCTGATTGCCTGTCGGTGTTTGGCATGTGAAGGTTGAGACGGAATCATGATAATTAAATAAGGATTGTCATTCTGACACAAATGTTCATTTAAGATAATAGGTTTACTATCTATTGGTGTGATATCTTTTGTAGTTTTATATATCTCTTTCGCGTACTTTTGTACACTTTCTTCTTCATCAGCAGTCAACATTTTACTACTTCTGGTTGTTTTCCCTGGCGGTCTGATGTGCCCTTCATTTGAAATTGTGTTGGCATGCATTTTACCATGACTTGTCCCAGGGAGCGAAGTTGTGTAACTATCATCATTTGAGTAATATGTTGAATATTTTTGCTGTGAGTATATAGTTGCTATACTTATGCTATAGTACAATAAGATGGTCCCACCGACAATTGATAAAACTCTTGAATAGAATTTCATGATGGCGTTATCCTTATTAAGAATTCGTTAGATTAATCTCTGAAGTATGCATCTAACTGCATTAGTATCAGTCTTATGTAGCACATGCTAAATATATCTGCTCTGATGGGTATGTATCAACCCATTATTTTAACGAAACACTATAATTTTACGACAGTCCTAACCTTGTCACTGAAATTACAAATCTAGAATGCATCCTTCATAATATCCAAAACATATTTTCATACATGTTTGAATATACATGTATATGAATATATGTTTAAATATCACCAGTATAATTGCTGATATGAACTAATGTTTATTGACACTTTATCTCGTTGAATATAAAACCTGTCTTTATCAGCGCAGCATATGTTTATCTTTGAATCAATAAGTTTATTAAAACGCACAATATAATATTTTGTTTTTTTTCCTATAATTGCTTTTCATCAGTGAATATCTGTTTTTGGGCACCTAGTTTTGGTATAAACTTGTATTTTTTTGGCTGCACTACGGCTATGACAGTAGCTTCTTGTAGTTAAGTCATAGAATAGACATTCATATTTATTGGTACTCTGAAAGTTCCGTTTCAATATATTTTATTTCATTAGATTGAATAAGTTTGCAAAAGATGAAAATATTTCCCTTAGTATTAGTAAATTATTCACACGAAAGCAAGGAAGCTGTGTCGAGTGCATCAATTCTGCCACCGTCTAGATCGTTCCCGTTACATTTAGAGAGAAAATGACGATGGACAGAACTGAATGCATCCTATTAACAACACACTTTTATTTTTGCTAGCATATACCGACCGGTTGTTCATACATACCTTTTAATTCTAGTTTCATCATTGTCAATTCCGAAATAACGCATGGCTATACGTGAAACATATATATACGTAATATATAAAGATGCTATTCAATACGATTCTAAGGAATCGTATTTTAATGTGTCACTGAAAATTTTGCATGGCTTTAAATTGATATCAGATTATTGAAATGGTTCTAAATATGTGTTGAAAGTTGATGAAGATATATATAATTGTCAACGTGACATTACTGTTGCAATATCTAGAGAAGTATCCAAATGCACCTGATGATACTGTACGGTTGTACATACCGCTATAACCGGAAAATGGAAAGTTCCCGAAAGTAGTGTTCCGCATTCATTTTATCCTGATTAATTGTCTGGTACTGCATACACTTTGACATCAAAACTGATACCATGGATAGTTGAATGGGCTGGACAGCTACCCTTTAGGCAACGTAGGGCACGCGTTCGTAACAGGTATTTTAGCATCGGAAACGCTTGGAGCAAAGCTTTTTGTTTTAATTACCAGGTTGTTTACTTCTCTATGAGAATATAAAAGCTTGTAATTTGGAGGAGAATATCGAAATATAAATAAATAAATATAGCTAAGGGAACATATGACACAAAGCGAATAACATATATGATGGTTTACCTGTCACCGTCTTAACGCACATTTGTATCAGTTGTTTAATCGTTTTTTGGGTGTTGTGATACCTACAACATTACTCTTTACAATTGGAAAACACATGGAAATATCAAACGTCAGGTCAAGTTTGAATTGAATACGTCACAAGTACCATTCTTAGCTCCAAACAATATAACTGTTTAAAACTTCCTCAATTGAATATTTATTTTTGTCAATTGATTATTGATTTAATATACGTCTAGACATTATCAAAACACATGAAAATTCAAACTTTTGTAACAACTCTATCTTTTGGTGGTGTAATAAGTCACTAAATAGGCTTACAAATAATCCGACAATAATTATTTTCATCTGCTTAGGTATTATTTTCACCAATGTTTGACAGTGTCATCTTCAATTTTGCTCGTGTTTATGTTTTCAGTTCTTTGCAATTTAATGTGTATTATCACTGATAATGATGAATTCAAACAATGCTTATCTTCTGTGACAAATACTAGTAAAATATTTATTTAATACTAATCAGGGAGTTATAAGACATTTACCATGTTATAAAGGTAACATATCAAGAGCTTTATGGATCGACACTAAATAGAAATTACTTTTATTCTATGTTTTGTTTTTGAATGGTATTAACTTTATAAAGTAAAACTACTCTTACATAAAGTACAGTTACCGACTGTTCGTTCTACTCATTGTTTTTTATTTCAGAGGACACAGTTTCATATGAACCAAGTACTGCATTTTATGAGTGTCACATCAAAAACTCCATGATATATCCAATATTAAGAAATTTGCTTGTGTTATTAATTCGCCATTTGGAGACTTTTAACATACCTAAATGGGCATCTTGTTTTAGCCTGTGAACCGTACCATTTAAATCATTCAAATATAAAAAAAAACTATAGGACAGCCCCCGATAAACATCCATTCACACAGGACCACTAGTAAGAAGCTGATTAACATTTCAATTATGCCGTTTTGGGCTGCGTTCAAATAGAATAGAGAAAAACAGAATCCACAAAGAAAGCCCAACACGGCAAAATTGAAATTGTTGCAGGGTCGGTTTGATTGAACCCGTTCATTGACGATACTGGAAAGTGCAAGCTACCGTCCAGTCCACGCTTTCAAGTTTGACACTTCACACATTTGTAGTATCTTGGTAATGGGAACATAAATGATAAAGATATCTAGCTAGTTTATGCCATAAACCTAAAATTTGTTTGGTATCAGTTAATGACCTGAGCTCTAGATTTCTTATCATACAGTTACACTACTGTACTACTTTATTGATAAAACGATGTTAACATTTTAATCTAATAAAGGCTATACTATAAACATGAGATAAGATCTGAATTAAAAAATATCAAGTACATGTACAAATTTCAATATCAGATGAATCCAAGGTACATGATATTTTTTAAAGACATGGACTTAAATTATCAGCAAATAGGCTAATTAAAATATGTTTACACACATTAGAAAACAAATGGTAACCATGTCACTATCGTAAAGGTTAATGAATCCAAATGCCAACGGAAAAAAACAAAACATACGCAAACACGTAAGAACACTGCAACAATTTACACGAAAAGAAATACAAAAAAATCATGCTAATGTCTATTGACGCCATGAATAGGGGAAAAAACCATTGGCAAAGAGAAACTCGCATTCTTCTGCATGATACTCTGGGATAGTTGTAACTGTGTCAGAGATGAGTCCAGTGGAGCCTGGAAATGTTGTCCATGACGTTGTGTTAGGATGACCATGACGCACAAAAGATATAACCTCATCTTTCATATTCCTTTGAAACTTTTTGTCCGAATCGCTAAGAGGATACAAGTAGCTTTCCAAATATCCAAAAAAGGCATACATATCGTGAGTATGGAATGGGTAGATGGGTGATCCCGCGCCGTCTCCGAACGGTTGCGATGGGTTGTTGGTATTAACATACCGGTAGACTGGTGATTTGAACGTTTTTGCCGCCATCAAAGCAACAAGGTTGTTTCCACAGTTTACTCTTATATCGCTTACCATACTTGCCCATTGATAACGCGCAGTTAGGTTTCCAGCCACAGGATACATTTTGAGTGCCATGTCCGCAATGTACGTGCTAAATGTGTCTAGCTGCTGATGCACGAAGCGCTCGTAGTTCTCCCACGTACCCATATCACTAGGTGGGTCTCTCTGGTCCATTTCTTGACCAGCACTACCTAAATTGAGATGAATAATTATGAAATATGTAACAAAAATAGTACAACATGTTGCAGGCAGGTGTTTGAACATACAGATTCGTCAATATCAATGTTTTCCACGCAAATTTGATTTTTAATGAGGAAAGAAATGTTCCAATCTATATCTGTAAAATTAATGTCCTTTCTAATAAGGTCAAGAAAATTTTGTAACTGACTGAGAAAATGTACAGACCGACCAGGAAAGGAATGTCCATTTTGAATCCACTCGCCCAGGCTTCGAATGGAGGCTGTTGAACAACGTAACCTGTAAAAATAAAGATGCCTGTTACTGACTGTTATTTGCACTGTATATTTTTATGCTCGTTTAATATAACGCCTTTATCGACGTCCTTTTCAATACAGTACATTTTATCCAGTTTTTTGAACTGATTGTGGTTTGTTTGTTTCATTTTACGCCTTTTCCCAACAGTATTTCAGTCATAAAGGCGGGTAGTTTCCTAACCATCGTTCCTGGAGAGTTACACCAGTACTAGACTACCTTCCTCCGCGCTAAACTACCAAAGCATCTCCCGGGAATCGAACCCACGCCAGAGAGGTAACTGGCTTCGAAGTAATCGACTCTAACCCCTCGACAACGGAGGCGGTTATTAAACGGATTGTGGAATGTAATATCATTTTACTCAGTACTTACACAAATTTTTAAAAGCAATACCTAGCACAGTGCCTATTAAAATCGACTTATTTATGTTTACATTTCAAACATTAGCAATTCATGTTAAAGTAAAAATTTCCCTGATTTTCAGACTTGAATAATAAATAAAACAGTGAGATTAAAGCACGTGAATTGAAGTTTGTTATTTCACGATCGACTGGCCCAAATAAAATAATATAATTTTTTACTTGAAGTACGAGTATGAAGATAGATCTACATCTCTGCTGTTTTCAGTTAAGAAAATTTTTGTTAGAATTTTGAAAAGGAGTAATTTCAATTGCCTGTATAAAAGAAATGTGATGGTATTTTTTTAAAATTTCATGAAAATATTTCATTTGATTTTAAAAAAATCTTTCACAGCCTAGCGTCTTGGATTACATATGCAAACTTCCTTTATATAGGCATATATATAATACACTGTATGTCAAAAATCTTTATGGTTTTTAACAATTATTGTTTGAACTTTGAAAAGGAATAATCCCTAAAAACCTGTGTGAAATAATAGGTTTGTATATTTCATTTAAAGCGAATGACGCACGCAAGAAAACATTGCTAAACTGCTAAAGCAGTTTTTTAAAAAGAAAATAGCATTACAATATTTAACAATATATTTTTTGTAATAACAAATCTTTCGTGCATTGACCATTAGATTACGAAACAGCGCAACTTTACAAGTGATAAATTATAATCAATTATATATTTAATTAGATATAGTTTTATACCCTGAAACATTTTACTTATACCAATATTTAAGCTTTGACAAGTATGTGAGTTTTCTAAAAACAAATATATGTAACAAAACTTACCATCAACTATTGCCATAGAACCGTCAAATTTCGTGAGTTTCTTCGGGATATCGTATTGGTCATACATATCCCAGTTTGGAAAATCATCCCATGGCACAGCTTCTGTTGCTTCTTGTGATGTAAGAGCAAGCAAACAATCAACTGTAGAACATTTAGTGTTGTTCAGGTAAACAATATTGTCTTCGTATGCGTCTTTCGCAAGTTTATCATAACGAGGGGAACCACTAGCCATCCAACCTTTGTGAAACAACCCCTTGGCCAATGGCGAGGCCATTAACCCTAAAACATGAGTTGCACCAGCGCTTTGGCCGTACAACGTGACCTAAGAATGGCAAATACATAAATGATTAATCTTAACTGAACAAACCCGAGGTACATTTTATGTTCGAAGATTTAGCATATGTGTAAAGTAGTATGATAAATGATCTTACTTGGTGCAATACATCTTAGCTTAATAACTTTATGACATAACAGAAATAAAGATCCATTTAATATCAAAGAGTGTCTTTAACTTAGTTGAAATAAAGAAAAGAAAAAAGTGTAGATCAAACCTGTGATGGATCCCCTCCAAAGTTTTGAATATTGTCTTGTACCCATTTGAGAACTACTAAAGTATCCATGAAAGCGTAGTTGCCAGAAGTGTTAGTAGGTGAAACGTCCGCAAGTATCTGCAGTGCCTGAAACCCAAAAGTGTGTAATCTATAATTATGGTTTACATAAACAACATTTGTCTCCCCGGCCATTTTTTCGTCCGCGAAGTAGGTGGGGTCATTTCCGGAACTTGAAGAGTATGATGCACCACCGTGAACCCAGACCATTACCGGTAACTTGGCTGATTTATTAAGCGTCGGTGTAAACACATTCATATACAGACAGTCCTCACTTCCGTAGAATGTCGTAACTGTTTTATGTTTAATATATTTATATTGAAAGCAAATATTCGCATATTGCTTGGCAGAAAATGTTCCATTCCAGCACGTTCCGTCGGCCCTGTTTAATTTCTTTGGCGGCTGCCATCTCAATTTCCCAATTGGCGGTAAAGCATATGGAATCCCCCGAAATCCATATCCACCGTTTTGCGATAAACCTTCAATCGGACCACAGGTTGTGTTTACAGCTGGACTTTTCCTGTGAGTTACTATAAAGCATTCACCAAGACCGAAGATTACCAAAATCAATATGGCTGGTCTAAGCATTTTTCTGCAGAGTGAAAAAAATGTGAAAGAAAAATTATTTACAACACAATTCTGATATAGATTAATGAATATATGAGCCGTGTCACGACAAAACCAACAAAATAGGTTTGCGACCAGCATGGATCCAGACCAGCCTGCTCATCCGCGCAGTCTGGTCAGGATCCATGCTGTTCGCTATCAGTTTCTCTGCTTAAAATAGAGTTGGAAAGCGAACAGCATGGATCCTGATCAGACTGCGCGGATGCGCAGGCTGGTCTGGATCCATGCTGGTCGCAAACGCACTATGTTGGTTTTGTCGTGACGCGGCTCATATATATTTATAAATTTTTGTGAATAAATAACTTAACCATAAAGATTTTGTTTAGATGAACTTAGATTAACAAAACTTGAAATGTGTTCATAGAACAAGGGCGCCCCCACACTCCACTGTTTTGTCAATCTTATTACTCCCGGTCAAATATTTTGTTGGGCTACTTGTGCCACAAATTGAAAACTAAAAATCTTGAACTAAGTAAAGGGCAAGAACTTAAAAGATACTTAATAAATCCACAAGCGAACCAAAAGGTGCATAAATACACATGCTGGCCAACATTACTGTACACTTTCAGATTTACGGGCAAAACACTTTTTGAGCTATGCATAAACAAGTTGAAAATTGCAAATATATACTAAGTCAAGGGCAATAACTCTAACAAACTGAAAAAAATCCACATACAAATCCCAGGTGCATAGCTTCAGGGTGATGTTGATCATTATTCCTGTAATGTTGGTTGATTCTAACTCAAGCACTCAAGCAAGAAATTACATAACATAATGAAAAGGATTTTACTAAGTCAAGTGCAATAACTCTACAAATACTGGATAAATCCACAAGCGAAACCCAAGGTGCACAGCTGTACATGCTGACCAAAATTCCTATTAAGTTTCATGACTCTAGGTTAAATATATTTTGAGCTACGCACGACACAAATTGAAAAGTTTTCACTAAGTCAAGGCTAAGAACTCTAACAAAACATAATAAATCCACAAGCGAAACCCCAGGTGTAGAACTTCAAATGCTGAACACGTCCCTATAAAGCTTCATGACCCTATGCCAAATACTTTATGACCTTCGTGTCATAAGTAGTAAATTGCACATTTTTGCTAAGTCAAGACAATCACACTCTAATAAATACTAAATATATCCACACAGAAATACCCAGGTGCACAACTTCATAAATGATCAACATTCCTGTGAAGTTGCATCAACCTAGGTCGAATAGTTTTTGACCTACGTGCGACAAAAGTTGAAAATTGCAAATTTTAACTAAGTCAAGTGCAATAACTCTAATAAAACAGAATGGATCAACAAGCCAAACCCCAGGTGCACAACCTAAGTACCCATTTGTCGGATAAAATAGTAAACATAATTTGGCTTAAATGAGTAGCTATAAATGATTATTTGTCTTATATGTTGAATATGTTGAACATAGTACTTAATTATTCTGTTTATAGAAGATCATTTTAAATCTCATTTAATAAAACGTTTTAACAAGTATTTATCATTTCCATTAAAAATGTAAAAGGAGCATCACTTTTACCATATTCACAAAATTGTTTATATATCAACTTACACGAATATGTTTGATGTACATGTATATAGTTATCTATGTTAAAAATTCAGTATGTGTGTTAATGATATATGTTGTATATAATTAATTATGTTTAAAATAAATAAGGTCATTCACTGACCATTTAATCACATATGGCATTGTTTTTCCTTACACCGGCCGTCATAAAAATAATTTATGCGGTATACATTGTGTAAACATTTTAGGAAAACATTGAGATAATTTCTAAACCTAAAGCCTAAATAAGCATAAAGATACAGAAAAGAAGTTACCTCAACCGGCTTCTAGATTACAATAATTTAACGCCGACCTCGCAAACAAAGATAAAGGCCAAAGTTTCTTAAAGCGAAAGCTGAGGCACATTGCAAATTTGTGTCCTATATTTAACCGAGATAAGCAAAATATCCTAGATTCTAAACCTCGATGAACGCTATAAACTTTTATTTAGTCTTCTTTTTACATAACTTCTTATTTGAAAATGCTAACACACATTAAGATCAGTATATACAATCAGTTTACTAAATAAATCAGCTCAGCTGAATTGCAATATCTTAAATAATCAAAATCTCAAAAAAGATCGTCAAACAAGGCAAAATTTGATTGCAGGCCCGGTTGATCGAGCCTGTTCGTTGACGGCAAAACGAGGTTTATGCCATCTACCATCACGAACCCCATTTCACCGACTTTAGCAGAATGCAACATTTAAGTTAGAAAAATGTAAAATTAAGAGCTAAGTGTAACATTTATGATAGATTTCATGAAACCCTTAATGTGACATTTCCGTGTCATTTTACAAAATGTGTGTGCCCTAAACGAGAGAGCAATATATTAATCTTAATAATCGGAATGTAGGGATAGGATAAAAAGATCTTAAGTTGTCAAAGAAAAAAAGGTGAGAAAAAAACAACGAAAAATAAAAAATAATAATAACAAAAGATCCCAGGCAGCATATAGTATTATACAAAAATCGAAGATTGAAAATGATGCAAGTTCGTTTTTGAGCCTGTTCAAGGACGGCAGATGAATAATATCTGCCATATATTGCATGTTCTACCATATTTTATCATATTTAAAACAATTTTTATGGAACTCAAAATTTCAAAAACATATCAAACTTTTTTTGTATGGCGTAAAAACTTTAACTTTTATTCATAACGCTAAAATGACGACATCCTAGGCAGATATATCATTCTAAAATGCTCTGAAATGACGTCATTCTACGCGGTTCATTTATAAAATGCGCTAAAATGACGCAATTGTATAGCATGCGACTCATCCGGCACCCCAATGCCAGATGAAATTTCTGGCATGGGTAAACCTAACAGAAACACTAGTTTGATATGTAAGAAATTCTGATTCAAAATATTTTTCACAATTTTATATCCACATCGATAAGTGGCAACTGCTCTGTTGCAGCCTTGAAAAGTTACCCTTTTATCATCTCAGTGTTGTTATATTTTTTCAGGTCCTTCAGTATCATCGAATCCTTTACTTTTAATGTTGAGTTTAAGCCGTTGATAAAGGGCACGAGTGATAACCACATTACAATATCTCACATGAAAAAGTTCATTGTGACACAGTCTTAATTGTGAAATTTATTGTCATATTTACACTGATGTGAGATCTCCCCAATCTCACAATTCTTATGAGTTGATACGATAGTCTGAAAATAACATAAATTGTATTATATAATTGGTATATATCTGTGAAATGTGATTCTCTTGATTGAGTGGTGTAATATTTAGTAACAAGATAAACAAGAGCCATGTTAACATGGCCATCCCCCGCCAAATGTGTTTGCTCATTGGAAGAATGTTTTTATTGTTTTGTTTATTTGTTTCATTTAACGCCTTTTCTCAACAGTATTTCAGTCATATAGGCGGGTAGTTCCTAATCATCGTTCCTGGAGAGTTACACCAGTGCTAAACTACCTTCCTCCGCGCTAAGCTACCAAAGCATCTTTCGGGGATCGAACCCACGCCAGAGAGGTAACTGGATTTGAAGTCATCAACTCTAACCCCTCGACCACGGTTGGGAAGAATGTATATGTAGTAGAGCAGAATATTTCAAATTTAAGAGGTATTTTGGTAATGAAAGCTGATGGCTGAAGTGATTACAGATTTGAAACCTATTTGAATACTGATGACTGAAAATAACAAAGGGCAATAACTGAAAAATAATGCAGGGTATGTTATCATTCTTATGTGCAGCACTCCTTCTCAGTGAGATTTATCCACCTATTAAGTGTCAAGTTGATACCTCTAACACTTTGTGAGATAAACTCCGGACAAAAAGTATGAAAATAAAAAGGGCAATAACTCAAAAATTATAAAGGGTAGAGTTATTATTCTTGAGAACAGCATTCCTCCTCAATAAGATAAATAACCTATGAAGTTTCATGTTGACATCTCAAAGACTTTTTGAGTTATGCTCCACTCAGGTGAAAAATTGAAAAATAACAAAGAGCAATAACTCAAAAAATTATGAAGGGTAGAGTTATCATTCTTTGCACTGCACATCTCCTGAGTGAGATCTATCCACCTAAGAAGTTTCATGTTGATATCTCAAAGGCCTTTTAGTTATGCTCTGCACAAAAATTAAGTAAGAAAAATAATAAAGTGTTATAACTGAAAAATAAAGCAGGGTAGATTATCATTCTTGTGTGCTGCACTTCTTAATGAGATCTATTCACATTTAAAATTTCAAGTTGATACCTCTAACCCTTTTTGAGATAAGCTCTGGACAAAAATATGAAAAATAACAAAGGGCAATTACTCAAAAAATATAAAGGGTAGGGTTATCATTCTTTTGCACAGCATTCCTTCTTAATAATATCTATCAACCTATGAGGTCTCAAAGAAATTTGTGAGTTATGCTCCACTCAGGTGAAAAAAATAAGTATAATAATAACAAAGGGCAATAACTCAAAAATTATGAAGGGTAGCACACCTCCTGAGTGAGATCTATCCATCTGTGAAGTTTCATGTTGATATCTCAAAGGCTTTTTGAGCTATGCTATGAACAAAAATTAAGTTTGAAAAATAACAAAAGGAAATACATGTAACTGAAAAATTATGCAGGGAAGAATTATCACTCTTGTGCACTGCATTCCTCCTCAATATGATCTATCTACCTATGAATTTTCAAGTTGATACCTCAAACACTTTTTGAGATATGCTCCGGACAAAAATGTCGGACGAAAGGACGGGCGGATGGACGGACTGAGAATATTTCTATACTGTATCAAGAATGATAGAAATTTATGAAATGATACTAGGCTGTTTATAACCTCTTATTCGATGTTTCATGACAATCAAACGCTCTACTATATTTTCTCACATTTCAACAGACAACTGTTTTTTTGTGTTGTTTTGTTTTTGTTTTTTTGTGAATATAATACTTTTGCAGTTTTTTTCTGGTTTTTTTTTCTGTTTTTTTAATTTTTTATTTTATTTCGCTAGTAATATAAAAAGCAACCATATACTAAAGATTACTAATGCTGGTTTTGCATCCCCAAAAATAGGAACGGACCATAACTTATCAAAACGTAAGTGTAAAAAAACAATATGATCTTGTAGTGCAATATTCAGTCCAGGAAAGGAACATTACGGACCAAAGAAAATATCATAAACATATTTATATAGAAAGTAACAATGCTTTCTAAGGTCTATTGATCTAAGTATTACAAAAATAACAGGTAAATTATCTATTGTCGCCATTATTACGGATAAAAACCATTGGCAAAGAGAAACTCGCAATCTTCTGCATGATACTCTGGGATAGTTGTAACTGTGTCAGAGATGAGTCCAGTGGAGCATGGAAATGTTGTCCATGACGTTGTGTTAGGATGACCATGACGCACAAAAGATATAACCTCATCTTTCATATTCCTTTGAAACTTTTGGTCCGAATCACCGAGCGTGGACAAATACAGTTCTAAGTAACTAAAAGATGCATACATGTCATGATAATTAATGGGATAGATGAGTCCTCCGGTGCCAAAGAATAGTTTTAAAGGGTAATTGGCATTTATATACCAATAGACTGGTGATCTAAAGATATTTGCTGCCATCAAAGCAAAAAGGTTGTTCTCACAGTTAATTCGATTATCACTTGCCATGCTTGTCCATTGATAACGCGCAGTTAGGTTTCCAGTTACAGGATACATTTTGAGTGCCATGTCCGCAATGTACGTGCTAAATGTGTCTAGCTGTTTGTGTATATAGCGCTCATAGTTGGGTTTATCCCATATACCCATATCAGTAGGTGGGATGCTAATGTCCAGCTCTTGTGCAGCGCTACCTACAAATAAGTAAAATAAATATTACGTAAAACGTTTGTGTACTATATTACAGTAAGACACATGATGCACCAAGATTACTGCTGCTACTAAGATTTTCAAATGTCTACAGAGTGTAATAAACATACCGACCTTACATAAAGTAACCATTGCTGGCGCTTTAACTATTTATGTAGAATATGAAAATACGAAACTATTAAAAACATACGTATCATCATTGTATTTTGACCATATTGAATATTGGTTATGAAAAAAATATTTTGTTCATATTAAGATAAATAATATATTAAGTCGTTATAACTTAAAACATGGTTAACAAGATTAACAAGGAATTGCGGCGCTCAATGAACGCAACCACTGCACTACCCAGCGACAAGGACCAACGGCCAGAAGCCCAGGAGGCCCCAAACCAGAACAGGACAGGGCACAAGGCAGAGCACGGGGAATTAATACTGTCTAATTTATTGTCTTCGCTGGTAAGCTAACATGACCATGCAATCAAACTTGAATATTGAAAGAAAACGACAGGAGAGAAATAGTTTTTAAGGTCAGGAGAGCAACGTTTAAACGTGGCAGGCTCGGTTTAATCAATATTTTCATGGACGCTGTTATTATGCTACACCACTTCCCTTTCCCCACTCGCACTCCGTTACCAGCTGATGCAGAATCAATATTGAAACATAAATGTGGTGTGTGTCCCAAAGAGCAAGTTAACTTGCTGTGCTGTAGTGTCTTTTATTATTGATATTAATATGATTAATATGGAGTAAAATGTAATTGTGGCACATATTCGATCGTTCATATTCGGTTCTATAAAGGAGTTTATTGCAATTTTCAATATGGTATGATTTAAATCAGTTGAAAGATAGAATTTAGAAACATCCTTAGATGTGTTCATACGGAGCTGAGCATTGAATCTTCAATATGACATTGGAGTACAATAATGTATCTAGAAATGTGTCCATAGGACATGGGTGCCCACACACTCCACTGTTTTGTTAATCTTATGATTCTAGGTCAAATATTGTTTGGGCTACATGTGCCACAAGT